CCCGGCGAAGCGGCCACGCACAACTGCAGCAATCAGCGACTCAGATGCTGACCAGCTTGATTCTGACGAGGAAGGGCCACCGCCCCAAGATGTCGCCACGGCTCCACCGCCACCTTCAAGGGCGGGTGCTTCGCAGCACTGGATCCTCAACTTCGCTCAAATCGCTGGCTTCACTGACTTCAAGAGCGCAAGGAGGCCCGACTACGGTGTCTTCAGGAACTGTGGCATGCCTATCCTTGTCTTCTGTATTATCTAATTCTTCTTCCAAGTGTTTGGGGCATTGCGTCTGCGGAGTTTCTGAGCCGTTTGCTTTGGTCAAGAATGAACGAATGCCCCGTTGACCTAAGTTGAATGCAACAGCGGGCCGTCTCATGGTGATATCATCAAATATCTTATATATATAAATATTGTATAAGCTCCAAATGTTCAGCTTTATATGTGCAGAAGGCATTTGGGGCGACTTATGGCCGAAGTAATGAACCAGTACGGCCAACTGACCCAACGATTCCATTTCTTCCAGGCTCAGACCCCCCATCTATTCCGAAAAAGTAATCTATAACCAAAAAAACACACTGGGGAAAGGGCGGGGTTTTACTTATTCTGGGTTTTTGTTTGGGGTTTTATTTCGGTTTTTGGTCAGTTTTTGTTTTGGAGGCCGTAGGAGGTTGTTGTGGGAAGGGGCTTTCCCCGCTTACCATCTCACACACATAACCTCCCCAGCCGTCGCTCTTTTCGCCTCTCCTTGCCGTGTTCCCCTCCTGCCATCCTCTCTTTTTGTCCCTTTGCTTTCTCTTGCGAATGTCGGCTTTGGAAATCGACAGTTGAGCCTTTCCTGGTTTGTTTTGCTCGTACGTCTTTCTCTCTCTCTCTCCCTCTCCCTCTCCCTCCCTCCCTTTCTCCCTCCGTCCCTCCGTTCCTGCCTCGACAGCTGACCATTTGCTTCACCTTGCATCATCGTATGATTCCTCCCCCTCCCCTCTCCCCTCTTCCCCTGCGGCCCCTCCGCCACACAGCCTGGACAAGCAGCGTGAGAACGCCGCCGCCCTTGCCGTACTCCCCGACTTGCTCCGGGAGTTGGACGCCGAGGAGCCCCTCTCCAGCCGCCTGCTCAGTCTGGTCGAGGGGGTGTTGGCGGCCAACATCTTTGACTGGGGCAGCCAGGCGTGTGTGGCGCTCTACCGCAACGGCACCATCCTCGACATCTACCGCTCAGCCCGACTGCGGCTCTCTAAACGTCCCTGGGCGGTGGACCACTTTGATACTTTTGCAGCGACAATTACTCGCGGACGCGGCAAAGGGCGGGAGGGAGGACTCGGGGAAGGAGAAGGAGGACTAGAGCAGCCGCAGCAGCAGCAGGCGGAGGAGGAAGAGGAGGTCGGGGAGCAGCAGGAGGAGGAGGAGGAGAAGGGGGAAAGGAAGGACGGGGCGGCAGCAGTGGCGAAGCCGCCGCCGCCGCCGCCGCCGCCGCCTTACCGTCGTGTGATGATGTTTGTGGATAACAGTGGTGCCGATATTGTACTGGGCATGTTGCCCTTTGCCCGGGAGATGTTGAAGCTTGGGTGTGAGGTGGTGCTGGTGGCGAACTCGCTTCCCGCCATTAACGACATAACGGCTCCGGAGCTGCGGGCGTTACTCAGTACGGCGGCGGCGGTGTGCCCCGTCATTAAGGCGGCTCGGGAGGCGGCAATTAAGGTGGGGGAGGGGGGGAGGGAGGGAAAGGGAGGGGGGGAGGGGGAGGGGGGGAAAGGGAGGGGGGAAGGGAGGGGGAGGGGGGAGAGGAAATGGTATTGGGGGGAGGATTTGGGGAGGAAGGGGAGTGGGGTTTGGGAAGAGAAGGGGAGATGTGTATGTGTGTGTGTATGTGTGTGCGGGCGTTGACGAGGGGAGGCGGGAGACGGGGAGGGAAACCTTGGCGGGGTAAAGCCTTGCTACACTTACTGCTTTACTTGCTTACATTCGAACCCCCCTTCCCCCTCCCCCCCCCCGCCCCCCGCCCCCCGCCCTCCGCTAGGTGGAGCTGGCCACTGGAGGCCACGTACCCCCCTATCCCGGCCTCCGACCCGCGCGCAGATCCTGCTCCAACCTGCAGACGCTGCTGAGTCAGCAACAGCAACAAGAACTACAACAACAGCAGCAACAACAACACGAACAGCATCAGGAACAGCAGCAGCAGCAGGCGGCGTCTGCGCTTTCCGAGCTACCCGCTAGTGCCTCGCCCCTCCTCCCTCCCCACCACCAGGAAGTGGAGGTGGAGGCGGGGACGGGGGCGGGGGCGGTGGTGGAAGGTGGCAGCGACACATCTCGACAGGGGATGAGGGCGACGGGGGGGTCCCGCAATCCTGCGGGGTGGGATACGACTCCCACCTCCACCACCTCCACATTTGTCGGAGGTCGACAAGAGCCGGCGGTAGCTGGTCCCCTGGGACACCGCCAGCAGCAGCAGCAGCAGGGGGCTGTTGCAACCCCTTCTCCTCGCGCTCCTTCCCCCGCCCAATCTGGGCCGGGTGGGTCGGGTGGCGGCGGCGCTGTCGGTCGCTCCCCTTCCCCCGCCTGCCCCGCCCCTGCCTGGCATGCGGTGGCCACTGACCCACGGGTCAACCACGTGTGCCCCAAGCTGTACGTGGTGGCTAATGGACAGGGGAGTCCGTGTCTGGATCTAAGACGGGTGCCCGACCGCCTGGGCGAGGTGAGGAAGGGGGGACGGAAGGGGTGCGGTATGTGTGTGTATGTATGTCTGTATGTGTGTATGAGTGGGGGCCCCCCGGGGACTGTAGGCTTTGTCCAGTGTGTCGCAAGTGCCGTACACACCCACGTGGCATCATAAGGCAGCTTGGGACTGCCGTACAGCTATTTTCTCTTTTTCCCTTTATTGGCCATCCTGTGTTGAGTTATATGATGTATTATGCGCGTGTGCCGTACTATACGACAGATACTGCAGAAGCTGCCCTTGGAGCAGCCGCCTTTGCCGTCGCCCTTGAAGCTCAATGTATCGTGCCCTTATCATCACCGTGCCCTTATCATCACCCTCGCTAATGCCCTCACGGCCCCTCGACAAACCTCTCCCTTCCCCCCTTCGGGGACCCGCGTGTCGCCCCCACACGTGTGTTTTGCGTCCTCGCGGTTGTCGTGCTGTAGGCGTGTGTGGGAGTGGACTTGCTCGTCATTGAGGGCATGGGCCGTGCCATCCACACCAACCTCAACGCCAAGTTCACATGTGACGTTCTCAAACTGGCCATGATCAAGACGGAGAGGTTGGCCAAGAAGCTTTTCAACGGAGCTCTGTACGACTGTGTCTGCATATTTGACCAGGTCAAAGTCAACGATGCGGACGAGGAAGAAGGGAGCTGAGAGGGACTGATGTGTGACGGAATTATCTGTACGGAATGTGTACGAAAGAACATCACCGTAAACCGAACGTGCCGTGGATGGAGTGGAAGGGGGTGAAGAGGAACGAGTGCCGTACGGTATGTATGGGGGTTGGGTGGGTGAGGGGTTGGGGTTGTGAGGCGCTGGGATAGAAAGGGTAGCAGTCAGCAAGAGGCCCTTCGGGAGCCCTGCTGCTGCGGCCCGCGAGACATCACCCCGTTTACACACACAGCCCTGGGGGAACAGCTTCGGAATCGTGTTATCGTAGGTTGTGACGGCATTCGTATGCGGTACTGCCCTGGCGCTTTCGTACCTTTGTACGGCATCTGCCGTACTGTACAATAGTGTGGAAGGGGGGAGGGGGGATTGCAGCAGCAGCAGCCGCAAGTGTCTGTATGTATAGCTCTGTCCCCTCACCCCCCGGTGGCTCCCTCCGCTGGACTCAGCGAGAGTGTGTGTGTGTATGTACGTATGTATGTATTTATGTGAGTATGTCTGTATGTAGGTGTGTGTGCTTCCATGGAAAAAAATAGGGGGGAATGATGACTTCAAGGGGTGTTCAGGAGTAGTGGCGGGAGGGGGAGGGTTAAGGTGGTGGTGTAGGAAGGTGTGTTGGAAGCAGCGGGTCATTACCCGGTGATCCTGCAGACCTAGGACATCGCCCGCCCTCCTAGAGAAAATAAGGGGGGCTGAGGCTCGTGCGTGTTGCCGGTGGGGAGAGGTTGGGGGATGGTAGGGGTGATGGGGGGGGGGTGAGGGTTGCATGTACTTGTGGGCTAGGAGGTGTGTGTGTGTGTGTCTGTGTGTGTGTGTGTGTCTGTGTGTGTGTCTGTGTGTCTGTGTGTGTGTGTGTCTGTGTGTGTGAGCGAGAGAGCGCGAAGGAGAGAAGGGGTGGCTGCTCCCGACAAGGGCTGTCAGGTAAGCCACCGCAGAAGAGGGGTAGAGGTTGGTTGGGGGTGGTTGGGGGCGGTTGGGATTGAGGCCCGCAGAGGGCGAGGTGAGGTGCCAGCAACCGGGCAGGTTGCGATGGACATGTCGATGGATATTACAATGGCCGTTGGATAAAGGGGGGATCCGGTTTTTAAAAGAGGGGGAGAGGCAAGGGGGCAGGCTCTGCAGGGAAGTCTTAAATGTTAGTTGTCGTACACCACACGGTTAGTTGCTTGTTGGTAGGTAGGTACAGCTCAAGTGTTGTTCCTCGGACCTTGTTACTTGGCGCGGTGTGTGTGTGTGTGTGATTGAGGGTGCAGTGTACGGTGTACGGACGGAGGTGTGCATGTGTACGGCACGTGACCCGGGCACATGGTAAGTCGGAGAAGCAGACATCATTATTATCATCAGCTTGTGCTACTGCTGCTACTGGTGGTAGTGGAGGTGGTGGTGGTGCTGCTACTGCCGCGACTGCTGCTGCTGCTGCTGCTGCTGCTGCTGGACAAGCGGGCAGCGCTTTTTTGACGCGAGATGTTCGGGAGCGCCTGTGGAGTGAAGTGTGCTGGGCTGGGCTGGGCTGGGCTGGGTGACGACAGCAGCAGCAGCTTCAGCTTTAGCAGTTTCTTGAGCAGATATCGGAAGAAGGTGCCGGGGGGACTCGGGTGGCAGGGCGGATTGAGGATTGAAACCACATCGAGCATACGTGCGCATGATGGTGGGTCGCAATCGAAAGCCCCCGGTACGTGGTACGGCAATCAAAGCGCCCCGGGCAGTTACGCCTGTAACGGAATAAGGTCAGCTACTGCTTGATGTATACGGCGAGTGAGGCGAAGATTGCGATGACTGCATGGTCCGACTGCTCGTACATACGTACGTACGGCAACCGAATGTGATGATGAGTCCGGAAGGAAGGGATACAATGAATTAGGGTCCCCAAAGCGCATTCATATGTGTCGCCTGTATGTGCGTGTGTGTATGTGCGTGTGTATGTGTGCCTGTATGATGTGTGGGACAGTGGGGTGTGGATATCTTCACACGTGGCCGCTACCCGGCGAAACACTGCCTTCCCCGGTATTTCGGGGCATCCTTATCCAGTCACCCTAGTCAACTTCGCAGTGGATTGCTCAGGCTCCGCACCCACCACCATTATCCAACGTAATCTGCCGGATCGACAGCGGCCCAACTCCATTCCTGGTCAGCTCGCGAGTCAACTTTATCCCAGGTCACCACCGTCCATCGACTAGGGACACGCCTACCTTCCACCATCGGAAGGATTTTCGACTCTGACAGGTCTCGATCCCGGAACCTCCGGGGACATCGTTGTGTGCGTTACAAGTAGTGCCTGACCCATGTGTCTATGTGTGTGCGTATGTGCGTGTATTGTGTATGACTAAAATGGTGAATATATTGGATGTGGATGGCAGCTGGAGTGCAAACCCCTCAAGTAAAGCTTCTCCGCCGCCGCCGCCGCCAGCCCCAACAGCACTCCACTCCACTCCACTCCAACACACATATCATATCACATTAATACATTGCAGGAGCAGCTAGGCGAAACAAACAGGTGGCGACACCACATCACGTCGTGGTGCTTTGTTTTTAAAAACACACTGCTTGTTGTTACCGTCTGGCATCTAATCGCACATATAATAATACATATACATGTACATGTACATATCCACGCACGGATGCACCTGCTTAAGAAACTCGATTAGCATCGCATGCATTCATGCATCATGCTCCACCGTATCCGGTAACATCCATTTAACCGTGTGCACGTTCCATCCATATATATATACATATATATATATATATATATATATACATGTATACATACATATATATGTATATATATGTATACATACATATATATATGTATGTATATCACCCATCCAGAGCGTGAGCGAGTGCGTGCCAATGAGCCTCACTCGATGCACCTCCAGCTACCCTCCAGCGAATCCTACCTATACCTCCTCGTTCCTGGTCGGGCTGGCTGGCTGGCGGTCAGGCCGAGCCTCCATCCCACCTATTCGCCATACACTTCCCCAGGCTACGGCCTATAGGTAGCTCGCCCGAGCAGCCTAAGCAGCAATAATACCCGCAGCCCGGATGCCTCGCCACCTCCCAGAACTGGCCCTCATCAGCAGCTACCGTACCTTGTATGTGTGTGTATGCATGTACGTATGTATGTATGCGTGTATGCGTATGTGTATGTCCATCTAACCCTGCCTGCAGTTTCCCTTGCCGTCAATACTATAGTTATCTGCGACCTGCAACGTCAGCAGCCTCATCAACAGCTAGCCATGTATGGTGGGTGTGGCATCATGGGCGGGCACCAGTATCACGGGATCTGCATCCGCCGATCGGTACTTTTCTGAAGTCGTGATACGACAGTGATACGACAGTACTTCAGCCATTTACCCTTCCTGTCTCAAAGCGCCAGTAAAGTACTTGACAGCGGCGACAGCCGGCGGTATGTATGTATGTAATAATGTTACTTAAAGACCCAACCCCATTCAATTTGTGAACATGCTGAGCTGGTTCGCCTCCCCCCCACACACACAACAATAGACGTAATTCAGATTGCAAGCAACATATTCTTCCGGCCGGTCGGCCAGCAATAGCAGCAGCAGCAACAGCAACAGCAGCAACAGCAACAGCAGCAGCAGCAGCAGGAGGCGGCTACCATGCAGTCGGCGTGAACAGTCACTGCGATTGCAGCAACAAGTCACCATCATTTTACTAATAAACGGTAGTGCTCACGTTTGGTTCTAGGGATGGATGGTTGTGATTGCACAGGTGGCGAAAACCAGCCGCAATGGAAGGAACGAATAGATATCTTCTTCAAAATCTATAACACATCATCATCATCATCATCATCACCACCATCAGCAGCAGCAGCAGCTGCAGCAGCAGCAGCAGCTGCAGCAGCAGCAGCTGCAGCAGCAGCAGCTGCAGCAGCTGCAACAGCAGCACTACATATCCGCCGGGCAGCTTGGCCACAAATACATTTCCAATGTGGACCGGCAGGGCCAAGGGTTGGAGGCTTAGAGAGGCGGGGCCGATCAAGCAAGGGCTCAACAAATTTGGTCCCAAACCCGGAGCCCTGCCCCGCCCGCCAAGCAAGCGGACAGCGCCGCGTGATGCCAGTAAGGCGCTTCCTCCCCGGGACAACAAAAACACATAAATAACCGGATCCACCTCCTAGTAACTAACTACCCACTAACACAACCGCCCTCAAGCAAAAGGCTTAAACTCAATCAAGACTAATCAGCCAACCATCAGATCAAATAGGTAGGTGGTCGGCGGGATAGATAGACAAATTCAACTCATTAAGTCATCAGGTCATCGAGTCGGACCCGACACCTGATGCTGCATGGCTGCATAAATAGCATCATATGGACACTTGTTTGGCCATGCTACAACGCATGGATGTCGGTTGTGGTCGGTTGGCCCACCATACACACACACGTGCAGGTCGCCGTCCAGCCAGCTAGTTCAGTACACCTGCTCCTATGGGCAGTAACGTTTCTCCCGCTCCCAGAAGACTGTGCCTGGAAGGCGATCCAGCGCCGCCGCCACTGCCGTCTCCGGGCGCGTCGGCGTCGGCGGCTGCCCCTCTAAAGCTGCTGCACCTGAAGCCGCTAAGGACTGGTGGGCCCTGTCTGGTGAAGGACGAAGACGGCGAGGCAGAGGCGGAGAAGGGCCGCGGAGAGCCAACAGCTGCCGCCGCGTGCGGCAACGGCAGCGGGAGTGGCGGTGGTGGCTCTGATGACGGGGCCTCAGATGGCGGTGTCAGTAGTTGTGGCCGTGTTGGTCTTGGTGTTGGTGGTGTTTGTGACGGTGATGGCATTGATGGTGTTGGCTGCCCCTGCTGCCCCTGCTGCTGCTGCTGCTGCTGCTGCTGTTCCTGATGAGGTCGCACCCCCGCGATAGTGTTGATGATCCGGTCCCGCATCTTGGGGCATAGACACCCCACATCGCCAGCCCAGAGGTACGTCTGTATGTATACATATGGGGTCCCAGCAGCAGGGGGGCAAACACAGAGGGTGAAGGGCAATCAGCATGGCGAGATAAAGAGGGGCGACAGGGGAGTCAAATGCCGTTAGGGAGCAGGAGCAAGGGGGCCCTTGTGGAGCACAACGGGCAAGTCAACGAACTCCAGGGGGTGACGGGATTTAATAAGTGGATAGGCTGCGGCCGTAATGCGGAAATGGCGGTCAGGAGAGGACGACAGAAACAGGGCAGGGCAGGTCTGCAGGCTTGGACCCGCCATTGGTTATTAGTTATTAGTTTAGTTGGGGATAGGTAGACGACAACGCGACCCGGTGACAGCGAGCATCAGACATCACCGTAGCTTAGCGACGGATCCCGTCCAGTCCAGCCAACCAACCAACCAACCAACCAACTAACAAACAGGTGTACAGCAGCGGTGAGGAAAAAGAGGAGGGGGTGCTCCCGGAACCACGACATTAATTAACTCCAGAAGCCAAGAAGCGAAGAGGATATGTTGGAAGAGGGAAGAGGGAAGAGGGAAGAGGGAAGAGGGAAGAGGGAAGAGGGAAGAGGGAAGAGGGAAGAGGGAAGAGGGAAGAGGGAAGAGGGAAGAGGGAAGAGGGAAGAGGGAAGAGGGAAGAGGGAAGAGGGAAGAGGGAAGAGGGAAGAGGGAAGAGGGAAGAGGGAAGAGGGAAGAGGGAAGAGGGAAGAGGGAAGAGGGAAGAGGGAAGAGGGAAGAGGGAAGAGGGAAGAGGGAAGAGGGAAGAGGGAAGAGGGAAGAGGGAAGAGGGAAGGCCGCCAAGCAAGTCGAGGGATAGCCTACCTACATATAGGCTGCCTCGCTATATGTCCCACGTTGCATGATGATGATTAATGCCGTCAATCAATTGCTACAATGCATCTGTATCATCACCCGCAGTCAGGCAGCCGCAGGGGCCGGGTGTCATTTAGCAGGAAGAGCCTTTAACGGGTTATCAGCAGCACGTTTCACGTATGTATGATGTGTGGGACAGAGGGGTCATATCTTCGCACTGTGGCCGCTACCCGGCAGACCCTGCCTTCCCCGGTATTTCGGGGCACCTTCATCCAGTCAACCTAGCCGACTTCTCAGCGGATTGCTCAAGTTCCGCACCCACCACTAGCATCCAACGGAATCTGCCGGGTCGACGGCGGCTCAACTCCATTCCTGGTAGGCTCGCAGGTCAACTTTATACCAGGTCACCGCCGTCCATCGATTAGGTTTTTCACCAGTGGAAAGAATTTTTCCGACCCTGACAGGTCTCGATCCCGGAACCTCCGGGGACATAATACGTGCCTTACCAGTAATGCCTGACCTGTGCATATGTATGTATGTAGTTGTAGTCTGTACGGATAGAACTACTGGCGGGGCAGTCCCCGCCGACCCGCAACCCGCACAGCATCACAGCGGAGCTGGAGTCGCTTGTATGCTTGTATGCATGTATGTATGCTTGTCTGCTTGCCTGCTTGTCTGCTTGTCTGCTTGTCTGCTTGTCTGCTTGTCTGCATGTATGCACGTGCACGTCACCATCAAAAACTGAAGCACGATTGCCTTGACACCAGCAGACATAACACTACTCTAGCTTCTCCCTCGTACTCTTTCATTACTTCGCTGCTGAATCCTGAATCCATTCTCTATACGTCATTCTTTCCGCTCTCTTCCAATACCCGTCATTATCTCCACGGTAACATCGTACCTTCATAATCCCCTTTCCCTTGACTTCGATGCCCTCGCCCCGCGGCTCCCACGGCTCATGCGGCAACAAGTTTCTCGTGGCCTGAGAGCGTGTGGGTTCAAGAGGGGAGGGGAGGGGAGGGGAGGGGAGGGGAGGGGAGGGGAGGGGAGGGGAGGGGAGGGGAGGGGAGGAAGGGTTCACGCACATAGCATGCACGACAGCATGCATTGCGGTGGCAGACTGGGACAATAATAATTGCCAGCATCATGTTTACCTGGGTGCTTAACTTAGCTTAGGGTGAATTAACCAAATAATGATACGGATAACATGGAGCATGGCAAACAGTAAACTAATCACCTAGCTGTCGGAAAGGCCAGTGTACGACATGTTAGTACAGTGATAACCCAAGGCCAACGACTGCCGCAGACACTAAGAGGGGCAACTTCGGATCACAAAAATATGTCTGGCCAACGATAGCGGCGACGGAAACGTTGACGGCTAGAAAGACGCGGGCAGCCCGTAGCGCCTCCAGCCATACATACACCCATACATACATACATACATACATACATACATACATACATACATACATACATACATACATACATACATACATACATACATACATACATACATACATACATACATACATACATACATACATACATACATACATACATACATACATACATACATACATACATACATACATACATACATACATACATACATACATACATACATACATACATACATACATACATACACGCACGCAACTCACACACTGGCACACACCACGCCAGCCCCCAACCCCGAACCTCAGGCAGCCTCAGGCTCCCTGCCGCCCTCCCTCCCTCCCTCCCTCCCTCCCTCCCGCCTGCCCCAACCCCTCACACACCTCGCTGACATGTATCCGTCCGGGCACCCCCGTGCTCTCCATCCTGCTGGCCGTGTTGATGGTGTCACCAAACAGACAGAACCTGGGCATGCGCCGCCCTACCACCCCGCTCATGCACGGGCCGCTGTGCAGCCCAATGCGCATCTCCACGGGTTCCCCTAGCGGGGTGCGCAAGCGGGAAGCCACACTCGCCATCTGCTGGGCGAACCGGAGCACCTTGGCGGCATGGTCGGGGTCCAGGCCCCCCAGCAACATCTCGCCGCCCTCCGGGCCACCGCAGGGACGAGCAAACAGCCCACCGCATACCATGTAGCAGTCTGTAGGTAGGCAAGTAGGTAGATAGGTAGGTAGGTAGGTATTTTTACGTGAGGCAGCCAGCGGGATGGAGATACGTGCCCCCGGGAGAGAGAGTGTGTGTTTGTGTGTGTGTGTGTGTATGTGTATGAGATTGAGGGGAAAGGGCTCAGGGCGGGGAGCCAGTAATACCCCGACCCGCCCACGTTCATATCGGCACCCAGTAGGTTCTGCCAGGTCTTGTCCAACCTGCCCCTAATCGCTCAACCGCTCAACCGCCCAACCGCCCAATCTCACGCACCTCCGATGGTTTCCACCTGAAGTCGATGAGGATGATAAGGAGTAGGGAGAGGGAGGAGGAGTAGGGAGGGGCAGGAGGACGGTAGTCGTATCCGGCCGCGCCATAGGACCGCATAGCGATATAGGGAATTAGATATTATGTATATGGGTAATAGCTTTAAAGGAGCGGGCATGCTCATAGGACATGGACCGGACATGGAGCAGCAAAACCAACAGAGAGCAAGAAGGGTTGAAAGAACATATACAGCGTCAAACGTGATAGCCTTTTTGGCCCTTGTTAAAAGCCGCAATGAGGAGGTGGGTTCGATGCCTCCATCCTGCAGCAGTATTCCTGCCACCCGCGGCGGCGGCATCTCTCTCACTATCAACGCCCTCTCCCGCTCGCCAACCCACCCACCCGCCCACTCCCATACATGTCCCACCTTGTAGCAGCCGCACTCGTCCAGCAGCAGATCAAACGCGTTGTAAAGGGTGTCTAGGAAGAGCATGACCCGTGCGGGGTGCAGCTGCTGCGACATGACCGTGAAACCCTTAACTGCACGCCAAGGCACGTCAAGGTACGGCACAAGGTACGGCACAATCAAAGTCAGACGGGGTGAGGTCCCGGCTGGGGTTGCGCTGTCTGCTATTGTCTGCTTCTAGATGGCAAGGTAGGTGTTTTCGGAGGGTGAGGTAAATTGGGTGATGAGGTAGAGGCCTGCTGAGAATGAAGGTGGTGTACGTCTTCATTCCAAGACGCGCTCTGCTCAGACACTCATAGGCTGCCCTGCCATCTTCTTGGCCCCGCTTGGTACGCTGCTGACGTCAGGGTCTTACTGCTAATGCCCACTACACCCCTACTGCTGTCCCCTCCTTTGCCTCGCCTCTCAGCACCCTCCCGCGGTGCCCCTCTTGACGCGCCGCAACCCCAATTTTAACCCCAATTTTAACCCCAATTTTAACCCCAATTTTAACCCCAATTTTAACCCCAATTTTAACCCCAATTTTAACCCCAATTTTAACCCCAATTTTAACCCCAATTTTAACCCCAATTTTAACCCCAATTTTAACCCCAATTTTAACCCCAATTTTAACCCCTAACCCCAATGTCCTGCTATTAACACGCCCCTATCCTGCCCCTGTACGCGCCTAGCCTCCCACCGCCCCGTCCCTTGCTTCACTTTCCCTTCGCACGAGCCCCTGCACGCAGGTTGGGCACTCACTGTCCGCGAAGAGTACCGTGACCTGGTCGTGCCATGTGGCGAGAGACATGACCTGGCGCCGCGTCAGCTGGATGGCCGTGCTGCTGCTGCGCCCCTCATCGTCATCGTCGTCAGTGTGTAGATCCAGCGGCTGAGTGGAGCCGTCGGGCATGACGAGGTAAATGGAGCCGTGGCCAGAAGGGTCCGAAGATGCTGATGGCTGTGGGCCGCAACCGGGGCCGATACTTGTAGCAGAGGCGGCAGTAGCAGCAGCAGCAGCAGCAGCAGTAGTGGAAGGTGCGCCGCAGCAGCTGCCGCTGGCGATGCGCAGGTTGGACATGGATAGCCGATGGGGCAGATGCTGGGGGCAGAAGGACGATGGCACCCCCCGTGGAGGGGAAAGTGGATGCCAAGCTGACGCTGCTGCTGATGATGACGCCGTCGCCGTCGCCGCGGCAGCGGCAGCAGCAGCGGCGGCACTCACAGTCGCCGCGAGGCCTGTCGTAGAAGAAGAGGTGGGTGTAGTGCCCGGCGTAGACATCGCAGTGGGCGACTCGTAGTATTCGCCAGTTGAAGGCCCCCGGACGACGACGACGCTGCTGCTGATGCTGATGCTGGCGGCGGCGGCGGCGGCGTTCGTGCTGCCTCCCGCCGCTGCCGGCAATGGTTGAACGGCATTATTACTCGTACATGGTAATGGAGAGCTGCTGACGTTCACGTTGCTGTCGCTGCCCACGCGGGGGATCGACTCCCGGCTGACGTCACGCAGGGACGTTGACCGTTGTATTACTAAGGCCTTTGCCGGTTCGTCGTACTCGGGGTCGTCCGCGTACGGGTAGTACGGCAGGTGGTGGTTCGGCTGTAAGATGAGGTGGGACTCCTCTTCCGATTCCTCCGATTCCTCGGCCAACATCACATCGATCACCTGCGGGCGGTTCAGACGAGCATGTCTTTAAAACACTTTTTAACAGCCCCACCATCACACCCCTTTGTTGCTTTTGGTCATTCCCTCCATCCATCCATTTCGTCAGTCGGTCAGTCAGTGCGTCAGTCAAACTCCTTGACTAGAGTCAATTTGAAGTCTATCAGTCAGTCAGTCAGTCAGTAAGTCAGTCAGCAAATCAAACCCTCCTGGAAACAAAAATTCCTAAGTAAGACGCGGTATCCCTGTATAATCATCAGGTCCAAGCAGCCATCCAGCATCACTAATGCACTATAGCCCACCGCTAGCAGGAGCCAAATAGCACCCCCCCCGGGAGAGTGGACAGCAGGAACCTCGCAAAACTGCCCTCAGTGCCTCCTCCACTCCTACTACGTAACGCTCAGCCCTCGGGGCTGTACGGCACCTTAGGGTCCCTGAAGGGGTCCCATCGTACATATACCTATGGGCTCTCGTCACTCATGCGAGACGAGGGGGAGACGCCGTGAAGGGGTTAGGCGCAACTCAAGATGGTGTCAAACACACACACAAACACACAAACACACAAACACAACCTCTTTTACCCGTGACTTCTTCAATCGGTACTGCTTTTTATTTAATTCACATAAGTCATCATGTGTTGTACCTGCTGGGGCAGTATCTGTCTCAGTAGCGCCTGCTGCTGGCGGTGCAGTCGGTCCACTTGCATCTGAGCCCGTACGGTCGCGGTGACATCCACCTCGGCCACTATGAAGGAGGGCCCCAAGCGGAGGGGATCACGGAGCCGGGAGATCTGCGTGGCGGAGGGGGCCCCCCCGATGTACGGAGTACAGTGTAGGCGGAGTGTAGGGGGTTTCGGTCGAGAAGAGGAGTTCGAAAAAACACTTTCAAATGAATGACATAAAAAGGAATGAATAGGCGGGAATTGGGGAAAGGGGGCGCGCGGTACGCCTGCTGCGGATGGAAATCGGTGTGTGGCGTTTGATGTGTGGAGAGGGTGGAGGGGGGAGAGAGGGAAATATTCAGTGGGGGCCGTACCTGGCTCTCTGTTCTGGGGCCCCCCGGTTTGCACCACCTCCTCCTTTTGTCACCTTGCTCGTACCCCCGGGCACCCTAGGGCAACAGTTGACCCCTACTCCCAACCCCGGCCCCGGGCCCGGGCCCGGGCACCACACACCCACCCGCCCCATTTCTTCCCCGTCGCATCGCTCGCTACCCTCTCGTATCCCTTCCCCTCTCCCTCCCCCTCTCCTTCACACCTACCTGCACGTCATGCCACCTCTCCTCCCCCGGCCTAAGCTCCAACCACTTCCTCAGCACCGCGCTGTTACTGATACGCAGTCTCCGAGACCAGGTCCGCCCTGTGGCGGTCACCTGCCGCATGTCTTCTTCCGCGCCAGGATCGCTCAGAAACAACTCCGCGAGGTAGTTGAAGCGGGGGCTGCCGGGAAGGCGGGCCTCGATGCTGGGACGACATATATACAGGAGAACAGCGTGGGATGGACGTAAAGACGGGAGCGACATGCAAGGGATTGAGGAGGAGCGAGGATGAATGGAGTAAGGGTAGGTAGCAATGAACGAAGGGTATAAAAGGGGATATGTTGGGGGTTAGGAAAGCTTCCTTTACGAAGGAAAGAAAAAGGACACGAAGGCGATAGCTAGCAGACAGGCAGACAGGCAGACAGGCAGACAGGCAGACAGACAGACAGGCAGACAGACAGGCAGACAGACAGACAGGCAGACAGACAGGCGACCTGCCCGTTGGGGGATCTGCTAGTTAATGCCGTCGAATGGAGATCTTTCGGTTCGGTACGATCCGGACGAGCAAGACGAGCACTAGCCGCCACGAAACTAGCTCAGATCATATCAGATCATATCAGAGATGCTTCTGTGCCCCAACCCCGACAATGCACCTCGTCATATCATCGCCCAGAACCCCACCACCTCACAAACCATGTTCAGCTATCCGTGCCTGCCTTAACCACCCTCCCCCTCCCCCCCACCCACATCCCTCTTCCCCTCACTCCCCGTCCTGCTACTTACCCATGTATTCCAAGGGCAGAAGCGCTTGCCGCGTTCTGCACCACGATGACGCCCTCCTCATCCACCATGGTCACCGGATTGGGGGTGTATTTTAGGGCCATGTGGTCTCGGAGCATGCCCTCGTGTTGCCGGGCGGCAGAGTAGGCTAGATCTGTGAAGGTCAGGAAGCCAAGTCTGCAGGAGGTGAAGAGGAGGAGGAAGAGGAGGTGAGGAGGAGGAGGAGGAAGAGAAGGCGGCAGCAGCGGAGGGGGCAATCCAGGGTAAGGTGGGAAGGAAGAGAGGGTAGATAGAATTGATGACCGCCAACTCGATGTGACCGACGATGCGTCGAAGCGGAGGGAAGAAAGGAAGGTGGGAAGGAGGGAAGGAGGGAAGGAGGGAAGGAGGAGAAAGGGCGCGGGGTTGGGATGCGACATTAGGCGGCATGGACCCTGGCTTACATCTAAAAGCCTGCTGAAGGTTCGTCGGATGTGGGGAAGGGGGTGGAAAGAGGAAAAGGGACGTCCAAAAGGAGCGAGCTGGCGGGGCCCGGCTGACAGATGGGCCGCAGGCTAAGGGGGGAAAGGTGAGGGAAGGGGGAAGCGAGCCCAGAGCTGTCAACAGGCAGTTCCGCTCTATGATGTGCCAAGACAAGAAAATGAAAACGAAAACAAACGTTCCCGGCGGGTGTTGAAGAGGGTACCAAACGATGGGGTGGTCGTCCTTGGGGTCCAGCTACTGTCTTTTGGATAAATACTTGAGGAGAGAGGTGGCAACTAACCAGCAGCGGCAAACTAGCAAGCAAGCAAGCAAGCTAGGGCCCAACACGATTCAGTCAGCCAATCAACCCTAAAGATCAGGATTTACACAGCAGTGCAGTCCAGTCGCCCAAAAGCAGCACCAGCCTGTCCCGTCATCTGCCTCTACCTCGGCGGCCGTGAGCTAGTGCTGCTGCTCGGCGGAGGGAAGGGCGACGCAGCTGTTGCCGGGGGCCCCGGAGTGGAGGCCGACGGTGGTACGGGTCGGCTCCATGTTACTGGGTGACCCGCGCAGTAATCGGATTCGTCTCCGGGACCCGAGGGCTCGTCGTACACCAGCACTGGATAGAACCTGCAGATGGAAGAAATGGAGGAGGAGGAGAAGGCGACGGCGGGAATGGCGGGTGAATGGCGGGCCGGCTGACCGATGGGTTGCATTTACTTGAAAGTTACGGGAGGTTTCAGGTGAAGGCTGAAGATTGGGTGGGGTGGGGTTATGTGACGGAAGAAAAGGAGCCAAGCGCTAACTGACGGTAGGTAGGTGAGTAGGCGCTCCTAGCAGCGGCACTCGGTCTCTCCCCACTCGGCCCCCCTTGCATCCAGGTCCTCTCCACCCCCCGTGCCACCGTCAGTGGTTCGTCTTACCCACGCCCGACCACAAAGACACACACATTTACACACACACACACACACCTGACCACATTCCATACGCCCCCTCGTTCCCCGCTTCCCCTCAGCCCTTTGATCTCCCGTAAGCGCGCTGAAACCAACCGCCAACCACCAACCACCATTGACCACTTCCTCACCAGATGCACACTAGGTCAGATCGGCGGTCAGGGTGGTAGATGACGCTGCGGAACATCGTGGGTGCAGGCTCCGCGCCCACCAGCATCAGCTTCAGAAAGCCAATCAGGCTCGACCTGGGGGCAGGGGCAGGGCGCGGAGTTGTCGGAAAAGTGGGAACGGGGAACGAAGCCAGGTCACACGATCAAACCAGGCCACAGGTTGATGAACCAAGCCAGCTTGGAGTCAGGCAGGTGGGATGCAGGTCGGTCTTCCCGCTTACTCACGATCGCACCGCTGTTACCCCTACCCCTACCGTGGCACTGTGTGCACCCTCTTGCATGGATAGTACGGCAGCACGTACTTCTAGGAATAAGTGCTGTCGTTCATGAAAACGGCTCTTGGACAGCAGTACGTTGCCGTACATACCTTATGGCCAGGTTTGCACCGACGGCCGCTATCATTCCGCGTATTGCTGCTTCCTGGCTGGGGGCGTCTACAAGCCTACGGGACAGGGCGCCGGATACACAGACAGACAAACAGACAGGCAGGTAAGGAAAACCAAGAAGATTGTAATAAAAAAGGGTTGCGGAGAGTCAAAAGCCTGTGGGTGAAGGTGAGGGAGAGGCGAAGGTGGGGGTGGTCGCGGATGGATGTTGTTCAGATGTGGAGCAATTATTCAATTCCTCACCACACCGCCCCTCGTGAAACCCCAGAATGGATTCCACCGGCCACACCTGCAATGCGCTGGCGAAACGTAGAGCACCTGTCGACCCCAATTACCCCACAGCGCGTGTTCATGGGAGGCAGTCAGCACACAGCCCTCCCCGAGCTGCTCAATGACGGACAAGGTCATCTGCATGCGGCGAAAGGACGTGTGTACGGAGCATCGTCATCAGCGTCATCAGCGTCATCAGCGCTTTGATACCAAGAGTTTGGGGGTTGTGCAGGCGGAGCAGCACTTACTACCAGCAATCGGATCGAATCCACTGTCGCTATTCACACCCGTATTTTGACTTGGTGTGTCCGCACATCCCTTCTGTGAGATCAACGCAGCCCCTGTACACCGCAGTCACATGCTGCTCCTTCACGCAGCAGCGAGAATGTACAGCTTCGACTATACTTTGTTAATCTGAACGGTTTAATAGGCAACTGTAAAACCAAACGCCAGGTCAGTACGAGTAGGTGGATTCGCGTGCAGCCAAACCGGGCCGGACGCAGCTCCGCATTGCGCACTCTCTATTTCCCCCTTTCCTAGTCCCCTCAATTTCACATCACATCCACCACCCTCTCCACGCTCCTCCTGCCCGTCTTTCCCCCCTTTCACAAGTATCAGCCCCTTTCCTTCGGCCTTCCTTCCACTCCAGACCATCTCATCCAGACCCTTCCCAAATTTCCTTTGTTGCCCTACTCCCAACCCACAGCCGCCCACTGCCCGACCCCACTAACTCCTTGCCACACGTGTTTGCCGTACATTAGCGTACATCCCCTGCACGCAGCACCTAGCCCGGCCACCCCAACCCCACCATGAGGTCCCCGGACTCAGCGCCTCGCCGAATGCTGCTAAGTGTTACCCCCCGAATGCGAGACCAGCATTCGGGAGATGCGGGAGTGACGGGGGGAACGAAGCCGCGACGGCCGCCCAACCACTCCTCCTGCTCGTTACTCAAACAAACTACGCCAAAGGGGATAATGCAAGGAAGCGAGTGAACATACCAACTCAGGGCCATACAAAGGTAGGGCTATAACATACAGGATACTTAGAACGGTACTTATGCATTGTGCTGTTGCTGCTTGAGCGCTCACCTTGGTCCAAGTCAAGCGGAGGCTTCGGCATGAGGCAAACGAACGGTTCAGGTTCGTCATTTGAAGCACGCGTAAATTCCAGCAGCCGCAGTTCTAACTCTCGCTGTGCTTTTTGTGCTTTGTCAAGCTGTGCGCGCAGGCTGCGAACATCTGCTTGATGGGCTTCTTCCACAGCTTCTCGGTCAGCCCGCAGGGCATTGTTAGTTGTGTTGAGCCGTTCGTTGTCAGCAGTAAGCAAAGCATTGTCGGCTTTAAGTTTGTTTATCTTATCCTCGAGAGCGGAAAAGACGTCGCTATTGGACATCGCCAACGTGCACTACGGCTCCTTCAACAAGATAATGAAGATGGAGTGTGCAAGCTTAATATGTGATAGTAAATTACTAAACCTTTGAATATTATCCTCCAAGCGCAACGAAATCGGCACTTGGGCAAAGAGGCAGAGGTCCCGACAACCGGGAGCCCTGCACGAACCGCGTCCCAGAATCAGAGTATATAGAGCCAATATCTATAATGAATTGCATTTCAGGCTGTACCCTGCTGCGTAAAAAGTCAGAGCGTAGAAAATACGACAGGTTTAGTGAAAGATGAGTGGCATGCTGCATACTCTTTGTACCACCAGCTTGCAAATAGAAAACTTAAAAGGGAGTACATATTTTATTATAATCCTACCTATCAATCTATCGAACCCCGGGGCTGGGTCGTGATAACGGGTAAGTAATCAGCGTCTGCTTAGCGTTTTTTTCGTTTGTCAAACACGGTTGGGTGCCATCGCGAACCCGATTAATAATTTCTATAAATCAGGCCGTAAATGGGGCAATAATATCCAAAAACGATTTTGAAATGATGCTAACTGGCAGCCACGCGGACGACGGGGGCGGCTCCGAACCTTCTTTCCTTATAACGTATATCAAATTTAGGTACCATGTTTTGGCCTACTTTCATGTTTCCACGCAGGTTTTATAGTGAGAGTGCGTACGCTAAGCATCTTTAGAAGGTTTGCGAAAGGTTTGGCATTGGGCTGTGCGCTGGCGGCACGCAAAGCCCATCACAAGCGCCGCAGAACATACCTGTGTTTCACTACCAACCCACTGGGTATGCACTGTACCAGGGTCAGGGGGGTACGGAGCCCCAAAGTGCCCAAATCAACCAAAGCGCGCATCGGCAACCGCCGTAAAAATTGAACCTCAAATCAATGCTGCCATCAACCCTGCAGAATGAATTGTTGTTGTGGCACACATGCTTTCTTAGCGGCCGGCTGCACAATGCAGAGGTCATGGACCCAACGCGCAGCGCCTCAAACCCCGATAGGGAACCCAACAGGGAGCGCAATAAAGCAGTTCAAATTTAGGCCTCCCTTCCCTTCCCTCCCCTCCCCTTCCTTTCCCCCTTGTCGATGACAGTTATGCGACCCTTAAAAGTCTCTCCTATGTAATAATAATAGTAATAATTATAATAATTCTTGTTTCCATATTCTTAAACCCCAGAGCATACAGCGCGTGTGCACAAGCTGCGTGCGTGCGTGGTTGCATTCCGGAGTGAATTGTCGCAGTGTACACGTACCGCCGAGCGCAATAAGGGTGCGCTGTGCCTAAATGGTGTCTGATCCGCTGCCGGGCAGGAACTGCAGCTGATGACGAAGATGGCATCTATGTGAGCGCGTTGCGTATATCATACATGCATGTGGGCGAGCGTGTGGTTATGCCCGATCATGCCATCCGTATTCCACTGTTTCGCCTGTAGCAATTCTTTCTTATAACTCTTTCGAACATACAATAGTTGTCCGCGACCTCGCGATGTCGGGTTGTTGGCTACTTCGCTTTGTTACTTACAAAAAAAATGGATGCGTGAAACCAAAATACAAAGATGCATGAACAATGAAGCTTCTAGCTGTAAATCTAGCTAATAGTACTTTATCGCTTCCATGTCATGGTGCCTTATGTCTTAAGGAATGCTCCCAATTAACAAGGCTTTACAAGGCATTACTGCGACTGATGTGAGGCCAAGTAGCGCGACTACATGCATCGACTCCCGTGTATCGCCCGCAGTACGCGCCGTGCTCCGGGCTTCTTTCTGCGGTGAAAAGACACCTCAATCCGCCATGAGAAATGCATCCTGCCCTGCCCTGCTGCTACATCACCCGACCTTCCGCTTCCCCATCACTTTGAAATAAGTTTAAAACAATGCTTCGAGTGCACGAAGCATCGCCAGGCTGGCAAACCATTATTGCGTGCTTAATAATAGGGCGTTACTGGAATACGACGACTTGTCGTTGGAACCTGGGGGCTTCGCTCTAAATTTGCTTCCGGTTCACCCGCGCGAGTGAGCCGTGAACTCCGTCAACTGAATTAAAACAATTGCGAACCGCGAGGGGGAGGGGGCCCGACAAGACAAGAAAACAATCCTTCACAACACTGTGCAGTGTTTATCTGAAACTGCCTAACTACCACCAAAAACATCCATCTGCATCCCCGTATGTATATCCCGTCAATTTCCTGCTTTACCACTGCTGCCTTCTCCGTGGGGGTCGGACATACATACATACATACATACATACATACATACATACATACATACATACATGCAGGCGGCTGGCAGAAGTTAAGGCCTGACTTCTGCTCCCAGTCGATCCAGTCGACCCGGGTTCAAATCCGCCTGCCAGCTCCTCGGGTATTTGAGGAGTGATGAAATGGGAGGTGGCCCCCCATCATATGGACGGTGTAGGACGTGATAATATCAACTTGCGAGCTGACCAGGAACTAAGTTGATGCGCCGTTGATCCGCTAGATTTGGTTGGATGCTTGTGGTGAGTTGCCGAACCCAACGAATACATTCTGAAGTCGGATGGGGTGACGGATTAGGGTGCCCCTCTAGCAGGGGAGAGCAGGGACTGCCCCGGGAAAGGGGGCCGCTGGCGAAGTTAACCACCCTGTAATAACATACATACATACATGTGTAATCAACGTCATACATACATACATACATACATACATACATACATACATACATACATACATACATACATACATACATACATACATACATACAGGCACACCCGGCTTTCTACACACATACATTCAGGCAACCATAACAAAACAAAGCCGCCCGCCAATAAAACATTTCGCCTTCCGACACGCCGCCATAGCCACCCACAGGCGCGCGAACCAGCCCGCCGACAGCAAACCAGCCGCGGCCGCATCAGCTCCGAAACCTAGCCTCGTATAACTCGCACCCGTGTCTACCTCCCGCCGGCAAGGCACAGCAGGAGCAAAGGTAGATACGAGCCGTTTTGGCGAGCTGTAGGCACAAACGCCTTTGTCGACGTGCCGTCTCACCTATCCCGACAATCGACGGTTGTTGGACCCCAGCACCCGCCGAACAGAGATGGTGAGCAAATCTGGTGAGCATATAGCGGTGGCCAGCTGTGATAGGTTCGGGGGGATCACAGGGGTTAACTCTGTTACGCCGCGCCCGTGACTGTCTCTGGCCCTGCCGCGCGCCTTTCGCCCCCTACCGACCTTAGTTAGGCGCCGAGTTAGTTCCCCCGCGCGCGCGCGCGAGGGCGCGTGAAGGAGGTAAACAAAGGTGCATTACAAACGAAAAATGAGCCATTCAACCGTATACCATTTGCTCCTAACTTGCACTCGCTCATTTTCCGAGTGTACGGCCCCCAGTCCTGTGATGACTACTACTAACGCGGCATGTTTAGAATGTAAGCTCCCAACTGCTGGTCTAATGATGATGATGATGATGATGATGCGGTTTTGGTATTTAGAACAATATTGCTGAAGGCGGTGAGCTGTCCTTAAAATGCAGACATGCGCAGAGGCAGCACAGCACAGCATGGCGCATAGCACAGCATGGCGCATAGCACAGCATGGCGCATAGCACAGCATAACATAGCACAGCACGATATAGGTAGAGGACGGCGCTACCCGGGGAGGACTTACCTTCTGCCCGCATCTCCCAAGCGACCAGACTGGATCACCAAACAACATCGTTTTCATCATGTGACTTCTTGTCGCCGCCCGACCGACCGACCCGCCCAACCAACCAACCAACCAAACCCCAACCAAATACTTCTCGCAGTCGTCCGCACGTCAGCAACGGAAAACAACGCCACCAGCACAGCCCCGAGGGCAACCGGCAACTAGGCCACTGGGGCTGGTCGCAATGAGCGAATGCGCGGCGGCAGGAAATCGATGGTTTTATGTATCGTCCGTCACCGCAGTTGTGGAGCCACCATACGCACAAAAACACGCAAAACCATGTACATGCTGTTCATAGCCAGGGTTTGCAAAAAGCCCCAACACACGCTTGTGTGGACGCGCGGCCCATACATTGATTGCCCTATCGCAGCGCAGTCAGTTCAATTTAACACACTCGCCGATGACCAGCAGGACGGATATATAATAATATGCTGTCTTGTGCTTTGCTGTGCTGTGTAAGCAACGCCCCGAAAAGGCGAAGGAGGTCTTGTTTTCGCAAACGCCAGTGGACCGCCAAGATGATGGCCTCCCAAGACATATAGCAAAATCAATTTTCATCTGACATCACCCCTCGGGCTGAAGGACCGCATTAGTCAACAAGTTCAGTGCTCCCCTCCTCCCCCCCCCACCACCACCACACACAGCCAAACACTCACCCATTCGACACTGCAAATAAACTCGACAACTCGATTGCGAAACGCAGCAGCAGGTCGTCGTGGTGCCGGATTCGTCGAAGGCGACGACGACGAGGACCGGCACCACGGCAAATCCCTAACCACGCAACGCCAAGAACCTCACACGGACACATCGTGAGTTGCACGCAGACCGCGATATATCTCCAAAACACGGATCCCATATCACCGGTACAGAAAACGGTGTCAAGTAACCGCTCGGTTACCCTCAAGTGCTTACCTCCATAACACATACATACATACATACATACATATATACACACCGCGCGAGAGCAGCGGAGAGCAGCAGCAGCAGCAACAACGAGTCGAGGCACATCCCAAGCCTTGAGGTCAGCGGTTCGCGGTTAGCGGTTAACGAGATGCTTCCAAATGAGGATGTCTTCAATCTATTAGACCCACAACGGATGGAGGAAGCCATCCCCCCGCCGCCCATCCCTACCCTGCCCTCCCTTGTCTGCCCGGGCAGCCAGCAGGCAGCAGCCGTAGAGAGCCGCCGCCTCTACGTTAAGTAGCACATCCATATCCACGTCGGGCGCCGTCTGAGGTCCCGCCCCTGTAATCACGCTCCGAACACACGAGGTTGCTAATGCCCAGCGCGCCTACAAGCCGCTGTGCAAGCCACTTCCCCCTTTCCGCGGCCTGTACGGTTCGTCCCGTTTCCGTGAGCCGTACGACTTGTGCACACATGCTGTGTTTTTTATGATCCATGTGTTGTAGGTAGGTAGGATGTGCGTCTCGTCTCACTGTACCGCACCGATGACAGTCAAACAGACAGACAGACAGACAGACAGGCAGCGCCAAAATGGATCCTGCAGAGGCGGTATATCACAGATTTCCCCCACGACCCCCACTATTCCGTAAATGCAGACGGCGAAGTCAGCATAAAGTCGTCACAAATGATAGGAGGTAGGTGTGTGTATATGTGTAGCTGTGTGTGTGTGTGTGTGTGTGTGTGCACATGGCCGGATGACGTTACGTTACGCTTTGACGATCACAGCACCCGGGGGCAGTACCAGCACCGGCAGGTGAGCAGGACGAACGAACGAACGAACGGACGGACGGACGGACGGACGGACGGCCTCATTTCACCGGCTAGCTGGGCTGTATTTTCTGCCCCTCGCAGTCCTCACACAAGTCTCACAGTCCAGGACAAAAGCATACCACGACACGCAACCGAACCCAAACTGCCTTGGTCCGTCGTCATGCACACAGCCATCTGTCCAACTCCAGGAAGCCGCCTAGCCCTCCCCCGCTCTCTCCACGCCGCCTAGCAACGTGTCCTTCAGGCAGCTGTCAAGACAGTCAGACAGCCAATCAATCCGCACGGACCGGCACCCAAGCACACCCTTCCTTCATCAACAGGTCAACAGCCTCCTCACACAACACACACAACCTCACCAGCCGTAACCTCTTTCCCCCCTTTCTAAGCCTACACACAAGCGCACAGAAGACCCCACAGCGGGGTTTCGTTTTCGGTCCTACCAGCAGCACTTCATTTCGATAACGCGCCGCTCCTCGACGATGGGGCCAACCCAACTCACCTTTCACCTCGTCTTCTTCCTCCTCTTCCCCCCACCGCTGGACACCACCGCCGCCCGCCGTCATCGCATCGCATCGCGCCAACATCGTCCAATCGGTCGTCCTATCGGCCATCACCGCCACAAAACACCAACCCACAGTAAACCATTCCTTACACAATTTCAAATCCTTAGCTGGGGGGGGGGAATCCATTCACAGAGTGCAACCAATAGATGTGTGTGTGTGTGTGTGTGTGTGGTAACAACAGCGACAACAACAACAACAATAAACCGCCCTCACGCCCCTCCACGCCAGCGTCGCTGCGCAGCACATCACTTCTTCCACCTCTCCCTCCTCCTCCCCCTCCCAACATGCGCCACAGTACGCACAGCCCAACCCAAGCCAACCCATCCTATCCTACCCCACATGCATCTAAAGCGCCATTCCGTGTCGAATTCCTTCATTCCTTTCCGTTACTCCTCCTAACCCCTCCTCCTAATACCTCCTACGCCCTGCCCGTCCATGCAACCGTCCATGCTGCCCGACCTACACATTCTCGTGGAACCGGTCCCCGAGTAGGCCCCCCCCCCTTGGGCGCCTGACCCCTATCAATCTCCACCCGCCCCAACCCGACATCCTACTGTCGTCCACACCTGCAAATACAAATGGAGGTGAGTGATCGGGTAACAGAGGAGGGAGCTGGCGTCTCACACCCATCCACACGTAGAAGCATCGGGAGTTGAGCCGTCCCATCGGGAGGTGGGCCATGCATGATAAGCTATTGGGTATGACCGCTGCCTTCCTGCCACAGGCCGCCAAAAACACTAACGGTGGCCTCGCCTACCGCCTACCGTACTGCACTGTACTGTATCGTACTGTACTACTCAGTCTCCCTGCCATATTACTAACAGCGAACACCACCTATCACTCCGCATCTACTAGTCACACGCTGATATCGTGGGCTGTGACATCGTGTGATGAGATCGCGATAAGGGGAGGGGGTGTTGGTTGTTCGCCAACCTTGTCCCGGGTGCCGTTGCGGTTTCGAATGTCCCCTGCGTGGCTGTGGCCGGCGGGCAACAACCCCCGCCCCATTCGCATCTCCCGCCCCGCTGCCCTCTTCTGTCCTACTTGCACGTTATCCCCCCGGGAGAGGGGGGGCCCACCCTGTCCCCAGCGCCGACGACGGCACCGCCGTCACCCTACCCGCCGGGGCTGGACTCCCCATCCCAGCCCGCCGCAGGGCTATCCGCCGTCACCAGCGGCACCGCATGCTGGCCAGCGTCACCCAGCGCTGCTGCTGCCACCGCCGGGGCAGCGGCGGCCGCTGCGGACGCAGACGACGGCAACCTGTGTAGCAACGGCGCAGCTTCCGGCACATCTGACACGTTGTGGGTACGGCGGCTGCTGGTCTTAGGGTTGCTGCTGCTGCTGCTGCTGTTGCTGCTGCTGTTGCTGCTGCTGTTGCTGCTGCTGTTGCTGCTGTTGCTGCTGCTGTTGCTGTTGTTGCTGCTGCTGTTGCTGCTGTTGCTGCTGTTGCTGCTGTTGCTGCTGCTGTTGCTGGTAATTGTGGTGATTCGCGACGGGGGGTTGCGGGGCCGACTGCGGCTGCTGCAGCGACAAGGTGGCAGCTGGGCTGCCACCGCAGTGTCGTACGATCCAGGGATGGCTCAGCAGCTGTTTTGCTGTGGGCCTGACGGCAGGATCCCTGGTAAGTGCGCTGCGTAGAAAGTCCTTGGCCTCCTCGCTGATGCCCGTGAACTCCAGCACCCGGGTGCGAATGGCCTGCTTAGAACGGTGGGTGTGTAGATCGGTTCGTGTTTTTGTGAAGCTGCGGTGACAGATGCGTTTTATGTGGTGTTGTGGTGTTGCGGTATTAAACATGTTGTTTGTTCTCTCGGCTCACTCGGAACCCAAAACTAGGCAACTTTAGTCCAATCGCGAAGGTTCGTAAAAAGTTGGTTAAGAGGTAGTTTAGAAGGGTCATGGGAAGAGAAGGAGAAGGAGGAGGAGGGGGTGGCGGAGAAGGTGGAAGGCCCGTTGTGAGCAGAGGAGTTTGATTTTGGTTGATGCGGAGGGAGCGGGGATGAAGGAGAAGGTGGGTGGGTGGGTGGGGTGGGAGGGTTTCCGCGCGGGGGTCCCCACCTTTCACCCCCCTGCCACCTTTCCGCAGAGGCGGTTGTGCGGCGGCCTCAAATCCGCCCAGCAGCAGCACCCGCGCGTCGTCGCCCTTAACGAGCCCCCAATGACCCGCGTGTGCCCACAACCCCCGAATCACAACTAACTAACCGCACCGTCCCCGAACGAAAAGACGCACATCCGGACCACGTAACCCAGCCTAAGCTGTTCTATGCCGGGCGGTTATACCTGAATGATCTTGGCTGGTGATGCGGCGCTGAAGGGCGCTCTGCCCGTGAGCACTTCGTATCCCACCACTCCTGCACTCCACACGTCCACTTGGCTGTCGTACCCCCGTACGGACGCGTCCTTCATGTCGAAGGGGCCCTTCTTCAACGGGCAGTCCAACACCTCGGGAGCAAAGTAACTGCAGGGGGAGGAGGAGGAGGAGGGGAAAAGTAAAGGTAGGGGGAGGAGGAGGAGGGGAAAAGTAAAGGTAGGGGGAGGAGGAGGAGGGGAAAAGTAAAGGTAGGGGGAGGAGGAGGAGGAGGAGTGAGACTGTTTGTCTGGGCCTGGGCCTGGGCTGTGTTGGCGATCGTGCTTAGGGCCATCCCTGGACAACCCTGTGCGCAATGAACAGCGAACAAGAGTCCCCTTTTAATTAATGAGGCCCCTTCGTCCCCACCTAGCCATCAACTCACCCCCACCAACTCAACCCCCCCACCCACCCCACACACACACTCTCTAACAATCCCTGCCATGTAGATGCCCAGGTTCAGTTCTCTGGACCTTCAGACCTCTGGACTGGCTGTCTTTCTCAAAAAACACCCTATGCAACATTACAGGTTGCTCCCTCCCCCCTCCCCCCTCCCCTCCCCCCCCCCTTCCCTCACCCAAACGTTCCCAGCCGTGTGTTGGCCTGCTCGAACTTCTGGTCGATGGCCAGTCCGAAGTCAGCCAGTTTTAGGCAGCTGCTACCGTCCAGAAGCAGGTTCTCCAGCTTGACGTCCTGAGCAGCCAGGAGAACAGCACAGCACAGCACAGCACAGCACAGTGCATCACGGCAAGGTCGAGCGCGGCAAGGAGAAGGAAAAAGTCACGGTAAGGAAGCTGGAAATCAGGAATTCTAAAGGGGAACTAAAGTTCCCCTTTAGAAGACAGGAGGTGCGACCCAACATGAACACAACGACACACACAGACACACAGACGCACATTCACATGCAAGCACCAACAGAAACCCGTACTACGCTCAGACTGCGCCGTCAGCCGCGTTTAGCACTCACTCTGGCCTCATCATCGCCATCACCGGCATCATCACCGGCATCGACCCGACGGAGACACACACACACACACACACACAACCCTTCACCCCCCCCCGGCCCTACCTCTTCACCCCTTTCTTTCCTCTCCTCCCCACACTACGGCCAGCCACGACATTGCTTTTGAACTCCAATGGGAATGCTCCTACGGCGCTTTGGACGTGTCGGCACTTGAATCCATTATTACCTTGTGTACCAGCGTATGGCGCCCCTCTTCCCCGCCCTCCACCCTATACTCTCTAGGGCCTTTCCCACCCCCGCCCTCCACCCTCCCCTACCGTACCCTATGTATGAAGTGCTGGCTGTGCAGGAAGGCCAGCGCCGCCATGAGCGGCTTCATGACCAACCGCGCCGCCTCCTCCTCCCCCAGCCGGCCCCCCCGAGCCACCAGGAAGTCAAACATGTTGCCCAGAGGCGCCCAGTCCAGAGCAAGGTAGACGTACTTGGCGTCCTTCCACGCCGCGAACAGTGACACGACGTGGGGGTGTACGATGCGGATGTGGAGACAGATCTCCCGAGCCAGCTGCAGGTTCGTACCGATACCGATATCGATGCCGACGCCCCGCGTGTTGGCGGGATGAAGCGGGGGAAGAAAGGGGGGGATTAATGACATCTATAATAATGATGATGATGATGATGATGACGACGACGATGATGATGATGATGCCCAAAGCAAAAAGACATCTGCCGACCATGTTCAAGCAGTGCCTTCCCCCCCCTAAAACATGGAGGGAAGGGGTAGGGGAATGTCCCGGCCGGCCGCCAAACAACACCCACCTGGAACCGCTCCATCTCATGCAGCCGCGAGCGCTTGTAGATCTTGAGCGCCACGTGCCGCCCCGACCGCTTGTGCTGCGCCTGACACACCACCGACAGACTGCCCTCGTACAACTTCTTGAGCAGCGAAAAGTCGTCAAGGCTCCAGGGAGCCGACGGCGGCTGCGGCTGTAGCTCTGGGGGGCAGTGGCTAGCCACCGCAATGGTCTTAGTACGGCCGGGGCCAGGACCGGGGCCCGACGCTGTGATGGCGGCGCCGCCACTGCTTGAGGAAGCCCCTTGGTGTGGCTGTAGCGCGTCCGGCGGCAGCGGCAGAGGGGCGCAGGCGATTGAAACAGAACCCCCCTCGCCCGCCACCGGGATCGATCCCTGAACCTCTACCTGCGCGACTGTTGTCATGGTTGCGGTTGATGCCATGATCGTCGTCGCCGCCGTTGCCGACATTGGGTTTCGGTGGTGGCAATGCGCACGGGAGGAAGACGCGGCGCGGTCGGCCACCGTCGCGGCGCCGCCGGTCGGGTCCGCATTGGCGGCGGCGGCGACGGCGGCGGCAATGATGGTGGCGGAGGCGGGATCCACCTCACTGCCCGCTAACATCCTGGGTGGTAGGTTGCCGCCAGACAGGGTCTGCGGGTTGTCGTACAGGTCCGACAGGCTATGCTGCAGCGGAAGCTGCTGCCCGATCGCCGTCGACCCCGCCGCCATCGTGATGCCGTCAGTAACGGCAGCCGCAGCGGCTACACCCGGTGTCGGAAGTGGCGACGGGCCTCGCTGCTGCCCCTGCATGTCGAGAGCGGCGGCGGTGCCGTACATAGACCGGGTCTGCACGATAGACGTGGCGGCGGCGGCGGCGGCTTTTGCAGCAGCAGATTCGCCAGCCTCACCTGCCTCGGACATGACTGGCGGCATCATCATCCTGCTGTGTGCAAGCTGTGCGGCTTGCTGCTGCTGCTGCAATTGTTGTTGTTGCTGTTGTTGTTGTCTGTGGACGTGGAGCACCTGTTGCTGGTTATGGTTCTGCTGTTGCTGGGTGGCTTGCCCCGACAGGAGGAGCTGATGGTCGTGATGGTGGACCAGGCCGCCCTTATCAGCAGCTGACGGCGCCGCTGCCGACGCCGGTTGCTTCTGCGTCTGTGCAGTGTGCGTGTTTGGGGTGGCCCAGGTCGAGCTGGCAGTTGCGGCGCCGACTGCCGCTGGCTCCGGAACCGGTCCCGCCACAGCGACAGGACCGCCCCCGGGATCCGTACCGCCCGTACCACCTGGTCTCTCAATCCGCGCCTCCAACGCTGCCGTGGCCATTGCGTCCCTGCCGTGCGACGGCATTGTCGTTCCCGTAATGCCCTCCCCATCCGCCATGGGGACCACGCTGCCGCCGCCGCCGCCCCCGCCGCCGTGACCCACACCGGCGCCGTCGGCACCTTCCCCGCTGTCAATAGCCGCAGGATCCAGAGGCACCTCCAACCTCGGATCCGGCGCCGCCGTCAGGTCCGACGCTTGCAACCACTTGTACACCAACTGCATCTTGCGCTGCAGAGCCTTTTGAAAGCTCTGGTCTGCGCCGTTGTCGTAAAGTGTCGTATACGCCGACAGGCAGGCCGTGGTAAGCTTCATGGGTCGACTCATGGGCACAGTCTGTTCGGCCGGAGGGGCGACGCGTTGCGTATAGGAAGGCAACGCCGGGCCCGCGACCACTCTGGCAAAGTCCTGGGCGTGGGACGCGGAAGAGGGAAAGGTCACGGCAGGGAGCTCGAGGCCGGCCACTACCGACCGTCCACTGGCGCCGCCACCGGTGCCTCCGCCGCCGCTGGTTGTCGCTCCTGCCCCGGCTGGCTTAGGGGCCGGCACACGCTTTAAGTTAAGCTCCTTCACGGCCTCCGGAGCCGCTTTAGGACGGTTAGTTGCCACCACGGCTGCTGGCGTTGTAGCAGCTGGCAGGAAAGTAGCGGCAGCAGCAGCAGCAGCAACAGGAGGTGCGAGGGATGAAGTTGCGTCCGCTGGAGGCGGTGCGGCTGTTGCTATGGCCACGGGCGGCATGGGAGCAGCTTGGCGGTCCGCTGGCACATTGACACGCGGGTGATCGTCTTGCTCAACGTGACCCTGCGTTGCAACGACGCAGTTGGCGGAGTGCTGCTGCTGCTGCTCGCCCTGCCGCTGTTGCTGTTGCTGCTGCTGCTCTAAATGCAGAGGCGAGCTTGGTACCGGCTGTGGCGCCAATACCTGCTGTTGCTGCTGGCCGAGCCTGCTGGCTGGTCCGTCTGCTCCGGCCCCTTGAGCAGCAGTCTGCTGTTGTAATCGCTGCTGCTGCTGCTGCCGTTGTTGCAACTGCACTAATGGGGCTGAGCGGAACATGTGAGCAGCATGGGCTTCATCACCGGCAGCCAAGAGCACCGCGACCGCCGGCTCCGCTACACCGGCGTCCTGCTGCCCCCGACCTGCCGCCCCTGCTGCGGCCGCCAGCTGCGGCGATGCGGCTGTTGCTCCATCCACAGCGGTGGCTGTGACGGCAGCCATCCCTGGCTCCGGAACCAGCGGCTGCTGGAGATCGCTTAACTCAAGCTGCGGAGTAGTTTTGGGCTGAGGTGCTGCTGATGATGCTGTGGCTACAGCACGAGCAACCTCCTGCTGGGAACGCAGGGTTGATTGGATGTGCGGTGCCTTTGGTGCTTCCCGGCGGAATCCCCCTGGCGCGGAGCCTATTGCCGCAATCCCCGCGGGCCGGTCCACCTGCCGGGAGTGCATCCGCTCCAAAGTGTCGTAGTCGACGTACAGCATGTCCTGCAGGTTATTTACGACGCTGTAGAGTGGGTTGCTCCCGCTGTCGATTGGGATAGTGTTGTTTGCAACGCTGTGTAGGGGGCCGACGGTGGTGGTGGTGTATGGTGCGTAGGAGCCCGGCGTCCCGTCCTCTAGGATTCTTTGTAGGGGGACTTCGCTGGAGTTGATGCCGGATCCGGGCAGTTGCATTCCGGAAACGGCTCCATCGGCCATGCGGAGAGGAAGCACCATGCCCGTGCCCGATTGGGTGTTTGTCCGCTGGGCGAAGAGGGCGCCTGAGAGATCGGCCGCGTTGAAGCTCATGCGAGCGCTGCTGGGAAGTGGGTCCTGTCAAAAAAGTGGGCCCGGGGAGGAGAGTGCTCAGTTGGTTTGGACGGGAAGAAGAGGAAGCGAGGCGGAAAGCGTGCAGCGACGCATGGATTGTTCCTGAGTGTTCACTTACCGCGGCATTATGGGTTGACTCAAGGGCTGCAAGCAGCTTTTCGTGTTGCACGGCTGCTAGCGGAACGTCGCAAGCTTGTGTCTCCACCTGCACATCGCCTTTATGGACATCGGAAGCTGGTTCGACATCCTTTGGATTGGCCATTGCCTGACTATTGAGGACGACCTCCGGTGCAGCTGGTGGGTTCGACGAGGAGCCAGCAGAGGTGACCTCTGGCTTGGAGGAATGTTCAGTCGGACCCGTTTTAAAGGCATCCTTTTTCCCCTTATCCTTCTTCTTCCTACCAAACCTGTTATATGCATGCGGAAGGAAGCTCAACTTTACCAGGTTTTTTAACTCAGAAACTTGCGAAAGTCTTTCCAATATTCCCACCGGAATAGGTTCAGCAGCGACTGCACAGCTCCACCCTCCTCAGCTTTTGCATGGCTCGGCATGCTATCGGACGTTTGTCAATTTGTCGCTTTAACGGAGCAACAAGCGCAGGCAGGACTACATTAAGGGCTAAGCACAAAAATCATGCACCCATGAAGACCATGTAAGGATACAAATTCTCGATGATTTTCATCATTACAGCTTTGAGCCCGAAACGTAAGGCGATCTCAAGTGGTTCTAACAGAAGCAACTCAAGAGGAAACCTTCTGCCGCGCAGCTTTGTACGTTACTTCGCAAGCTTAGTTGTCAACAAATGTTAGATTGGTTTTGCGGGTCAATCTTAGGACTCCGCAAGAAGACTCGTACAACAGTTTCCCCATGTGATTAGCCCTGTGAGTCGCTATTATCTCTCGTTTGACTGTCAATTTCTCAGGATTGCTCGTTGCTGGTAAGCAATCGTCAAAGAGAATACCACAATACCGCCGCCTGATCAGGCAGCCGACACAATTGTGCAGAGGCAGCTTGCGGGCTGTTAAGCCTTGAGCCGGTATAAACAATCTCGCACACCCAAAGATGGTTGACAAATCCATGATAGGCTTGGTTATTCTCGTAAACGCTATCGCAGCTGGCGTCTTGTAAGTCGCTCCCCCACACCACATGGCCGAAATGTGCTGGCGCTCGCACGCTCGGACCCGTCCTCAGTTTCTCCATCGCGCCGTAGGTACCAACGCTTCCATGACCACCCACAGCTCCAGATCCTGGAGTCACGTGTCCTGGAGATGTACCACAAGTTCCTGCCGCCCAAAACACCCGACCGCTGCGGGGCGCTCAAGTGGCCGTCTTACGTGCTGGTCAGCGACCGTGTAGTTTTCCCAGACGGCGTTCGCCCCGGGGCAGGTGCGACGATCCCCTATTCCCCCTGGTAATATCGCCCTACCGCGTTCGCTAGCCAACTTCCAAGTAGGAATCTTCGGGCAATGCAAGCCACCACAGTCAACCCCCATGCGAGCAGCGGTCTTCCATGGTTAGAAGCCTTGACATCTGTCACCAGGCGGTGCCTAAGCTACTTTGTCCGGCAGCTCGCCTCGGTTGTGCTATTCGCTGGCACGATGCATTGCAGCTCGCTCCCAGGCCCTCCGACTACCACGCCATCACCGCCTGGGCTTTCGGCCTTGCTTCCCCAGTGTCGCGGTTCTCCCTTCCTGATACTCTCCCTGTATCACTCTGTTTGCTCCTCTTGCCACAAATAAGACATTTACACAAAGGCAAAAAGCGCTCTTTCCCTCCTCTTTACGATTTGGGTTTATTCTGCCCGTTTTCCTGCACAGTGTTCATCGAGGGATCCCGCATTGTGGATGTCTCTGAGGAGGTGACGGTGGACAGCACCGCCCACCCGCACGTCATGAACTTCAAGCACGCGGTCATCTCCCCCGGTGTCATCGACGTGCACATCCACCTCAACGAGCCAGGCCGTGTAGAGTGGGAGGGTGAGCTTTGCGCCGGCTTTAGATGACAGGGCTGGGAAGGAAGCGGGAAGAGGAAAGAGAGGGAAGTGGGGAAACAGAAAACTGGGGATTCACGGAGGGAGTTGAGCAGGGTGAGGAGGAGGGTGAGGAGGAGGGTGCCGGGCATGAAGGAGCGGAGAGAGGGCGCCGCCTTTTGCTCGCAAGTCAGGTTCTAAACTTTGGCCGGACATGGGTCATCCGTGCCTGCTAGGCGCCCGCACGTGTGCTATAGCTAGCAGGTCGTCACCATGTTTGTTTCCTTCCGCACGACCTGATCGACAAAGTGATTAGCGAAGAAGATTCAGGCGGTTGAGCCTCATTGTATCCAATTCCTGCGGCAGCTGGTGGTGCTCTCTTCAGGACGATCGTGTGTGTATCGGCACAGCTGAAAACCCCCCTTTGCTGCCCCACCTTGCTTGATCTCTCACATGATTTCTCTCCTCAAGCCCCAGCGTCCGTCTAAAGTCTAAGGTGCTTCAATTGTCAGTTGTTCGTCTTACCCCCCAGAACCGCCACCACGCCCGCTCCCCCCCGTGGTCCCATCCCCAAGCAGGCATCACCAACGGCACGATGGCCGCCGCGGTGGGCGGTGTGACCACCGTCATCGACATGCCGCTCAACAGCGACCCCGTCACAACCGATGTACGGCAGCTGGAAGCCAAGAAAAAGCTGGCCAAGGTGAGAAGACAGGGAATGGGTTGGCTGGCCAGGAAGGCCCCTGACAGACTGACTGACAGACTGACTGTGGGCTGAAGGGCGGCCGCCCGGTGAGGACGGGGTTCACAAGGCACACAGCACGGCTTTATTAAGCAGCAGATTGAAGAGTGACCGAACCAGATGGGGCGTGTGATAAATAAGTATTACCACGCTTTGTATAGTTTATAAAATACAACTCGGCACTCCCTCCTCTCCCACTCCAGGCCAAGGCCTTCACAAACATCGGGTTCTGGGCGGGTTTGGTCCCCGGCAACGCAGCCAACCACACCCTCCTGTCAGAGCTGCTGGCGGGCGGGGCTCTGGGCTTCAAGAGCTTCATGTGCAACAGCGGCATCAACGACTTCCCCGCGGTGGAGGCGGAACACATCGCGGCGGCACTGCCCTTCCTCAAGAGCCGGGGGGTGCCGTTCTTTGTGCATGCGGAGGTGGTGACGCCCGTGGAGATGGATGCGGTGGGGGTGCGGGTGGGAGGGAGGAGGTGGGGGGGGGGTCCGGTGGCGTGTGTGTGTGTCTGTATGTATGTGTATTGGGGGAAAGGTTGTAGAGCGGGTGGGGAAGGGGTGTTGAGCGGGTCATGGATGATACACTGCGTGTGTGTGTCTCTGTATGTGTGCCTTTGCGTCCCGGATTCTTGTTTTGCTGCTGTCACTACAACCCACCCTGACGTTCCCGTACCCGTACCCGTTCCCGTTCCCTTTTCCTCTCTCACCCCGCCCGGGCCCCCTCCGCACCTCGGTAGTCCGCCGACCCCACCCACTACACCACCTACCTGGCCACTCGCCCGCCCAAGTTCGAGCGAGATGCCGTTCGGTTGTTGGTTAAGTTGTTGGACGAGGACTCCACCCCGGCGGCCCCCGGCTTCTCTGTGCACGTGGCCCACCTCGCGGATGGGGAGGAGGCGCTGGAAGTTATTCGGGTAGGGAGGAGGATGGGAGAAAAGAGGGGAGGATAAGGGGTTGGGATGGGGAGTTTGGGGTGCTAGGGAGAAAAGTGTGAGGGATAGGAGGATGGGGAGGAGGAAGGGAGAGAAGGAGGATTGGGAGTTGGGAGCCTTCGTTTAGTCTTCATTTCTTCTTCGCCTTTTTAGATCTGTCGTCTTTTCCCCTTTTCAATTTTTTTCTGTGCTTCTGGCATTCTTCCTGGTCTACGTACCTTTCGGCATTTATTCTTTTCCCTAACCCCGCTTCTTGGACGTGTCGGCAGTTAGTTGAAACCCTTTGCTGCTTCATCATCATCATCATCATCATCATCATCATCATCATCATCATCATCATCATCACCATCATCACCATCATCATCATCATCACCATCACCATCACCATCACCATCACCATGACTATGACCATTGTGTTATGATTTCCTCAAGGCAACCCCGTCCTCCCCCAACTCCATTCGCCCCCAACTCTCCCCTCTCAAAACCCCCCACTCCTCCACCCCATACATACATACATACATACACACACACCACCAGGACGCCCAGTCCCGGGGTCACCCCCTCACGGTGGAGACATGCGCCCACTACCTCACATTCTCTGCGGAGGACGTCCCGGCGGGTCACACGCAATACAAGTGCGCGCCGCCGCTGCGGGAGGCCTCGCACAGGAACCGACTGATCAGCGCGGTCAGGTCGGGGGCCATTAGCCTGGTGGGTGGTAGTGGCTGGCTGGGAGGGGGGGTGGGTGGGATGGGCTGGCCCCGTGCGGAGAGGAGGGGTCCCCTCATCCCGTCATATCTCTCCCTTCCTCCCCTTAAGGGCCGCGCTCTGCCTCGTCGGAGCTCCCCCTTCCAAACCCTCTTGTCCCTGCCCGTCTTCCAAACCCCTGGAATACTGCCCCCCTCCCTCTCCCTCTCCCCCTTTCCTCCCTCCCTCCCTCTCCCTCTCCTCTCTACCTACCTCACCCTCGCCCGTCCGTCCCTGGCCCCTTCCCTCCCTCCCTCCCCCCCTCCCTCCCTCCCCCTCCCTTCCCCCTACCTCCCTCCCTGGCCCCCGGCAGGTATCTTCGGACCACTCCCCCGCCCCCCCAGCGCTCAAGGAGACGGAGAGCGGCAACTTCCTGCGGGCCTGGGGTGGCATCAGCGGAGTGCAGTACCTGCTGCCGGCCACGTGGACGGCTCTGTGGGGGGCTGCCGCGGGGGGGGAGGGGCAGGGGGAGGGCGCCGCTAAGGAGGGGGATCTGCTGTTGTTGGCTCGCGTACTGAGTGAGGGCCCAGCCAAGCTGGCGGGGGTGGCGGAGAGCAAGGGCCGACTGGCGCCGGGCTACGATGCGGATTTGGTGGTGAGAGGGAGGGGGGAGGGGAGGGGACGTGGACAGGGGAGGGTGGATGGCAGGGAAGAGAACTGACCGTCACCAAGCTATGTAGGCGCGTCTGTCTGCACAACCCTTATGTCGATCCTGTCTGTTTGCAAACGTCATTTACGTTCTTGTGCGCCTGTAAGCTGGTTGGAGTAGGTGGGAGTATGTTGTCTTGGCTCGCTTCTTTCGCCCCCATGGCGCTCTCCCCTTCCTGCCCAACTGCTTGGCTACCTGCCTGGCCCTAATCCACATCCCGTCGTCCCGTCTTGGGTCCTGCCTTTTTATTCAAACTTTGGATCCAACTCTGTATTGTTCCTGTTCTTCTGTTCATCTGACTGCTGCCTGCCTGTGTGGTCCATCTACACGCGCCCACCCACCCGCTCGGGCACGTAGATTTGGGAGCCCGAGACACGAGCCAACACCTCCGTCTCACTCAACCTGCACACCCACAAGCTGTCGCCGTACACTGACGTGCCTTTGTACGGCAAGGTCCTGGGCACGATTGTGGGCGGCGAGCTAACGGCCTTGTTCGGTAACATAAACAGGAGGTCCTGCGGCAAGCTGGTCCTGAGCAGGAACACGTAGAAGCTTCAAGTGCGCGTGCAGGGGTGGGTGGGTGGGTGTAGGGGAAAGGGGGGAATTAGGGGCTACGGATCAACAAAATGGGTAATGATGGGTTGTGAGAGACGCGTATGTGCGGGATGTAGGGGGGGGTAGGTTATGGGCAAAAACCGTAAGCTTAGGGTTTTTGCGGAAGAGGATAGTCATGGCGGGGAGCCCTGGCAGCGGCTCTCTGAATCGGTTCCAGGTTTTTCCGGATGCTGTTCCAGGAGTTTCCGGATGTCCGATTGTTCATTCGTACATCGTCGTACATTGGGTGGTATTCCTTGGGTGGCATCATGTGCGCGCATCATCCGTGTGGCGGTTCCGAAACGTCGTACAGACGTTGGCGCCCAATGCCGCCTACCATCTCGCCTGTCTACGCACGTGCTCTTGTTGCATGTGTGTGTGTGTGTGTGTGTGTGCGTGTGTGTGTGTGTGTGTGTGTGCGTGTGCTCGTATGTGTGCGCATTGCCACATATAGGGGTCGTATACGTGATACGGCATTTCGAGGATTATGGGTTGAAGTTAAAGTGGGCATGCGTGATTGTGCTTAAAGGGGCTAGTTATTTTTTGCTTGATAGGGCAAATTATCGCCGTAACCCCTGAGAATGAGAATGTGTCCGGGAAATACACACGAGTGCGGTATTGCGATGCAGCAGCATTGGAGCTCTGGGTTGTGTACAGCTGTATGTATGTATATCTGAATGTGCCCTGCCAGCGGTGGCGGTGGAGGGGTTTGTGTGCTCCAATCCACCTCGCTCGCAGCTCCGGGACTGATGATGTACGGGTGCGTGTGTGTGTATGTGTGTGAGAGAGAGAGAGAATATGTGTGAATGTGGAGGTTACAAGTATCTGACCGGGCCTGACACTTTCCAGGGGCTGCTAGCCAGAGCTAGCGAGAGACTGTGCGAACGGGAGAGGGGCGTGAGGGGTCTCTGCCCCCTCCTAAGCAGCCGGGCCCCATCCTAAGCAGTGTGTAAAAGTGTGTAATGTGCCTGTGGGGGGGCCCCAGGCTGGGAGGAGACTGGCGGACAGCTGCCCGGTGGCCTCTGCTTCAACAGTCGATGGGACAGAGACGTGCGATTGAACCAACCCGATGCAGCACTCACCAGTGGGTGGTGGTGTTGGAGCGGCCAGCCTAGGTACGTCCGTCCCAGCCAGCGTGGGCCATCAACCACCAATCTGAATTGTTTGGGGGCTTTTGACCCTCCCTGCGTACATCTCATAGCCGGATGTAACCGACTTCAAGCTGACGACATGGAAGACGACGACGGCGTGTCCACTAGCTGTCTAATAGCTATCACCGAGGCGCAAGAAGGGTCCCTCCGGTACAGAAACACGGAAAGGCAAATCCAAAACCTGCTCCACGTGATTGAGGATGCTGGGCTCACACGCAAAGATCTCTAGAGACCTGCCGCGCCAAGCTATGGCGTATGGGTGTATGTTCTTGTATTCGTCGTGTATGTATTTTATCTTGCAGCTACGGCATATAGAGCTTTCTTCTGGTATCCTATCACATCTCGAAACCGTTAGGTTCTTGCATGTGTTTGCATATGTTTGCATTTCGCAGGCAGCAACAATGGGGTTGTTCGCAACCCCGCTCACAGTCACGCAGAGACACACACTTTGTCCAGAGACACACACTTTGTCCAGAGACACACACTTTATCCATTCCACACTTTGTCCAGTCCTCTCTGACCTGATGAAAGCCACCTGATAGAGGGTTTGCACGATCAATGATGGTGTGTGTGTATGTGTGTACGATGTGCGTCATGGCCCGAAGAAAGCGAGCTGACTGGCTAACTTTGCTGCAGGCACAAACAGTTTGCATGAGGAGGGATTAAAGCTGAAAGCAAAAGGTTACCAGGTTACCAATGGACTCACAGCTTGAAGGCGACAAACTCCCTTCAGCATTCCTTGACAAACAAGAGAACAGCCACCATGCGCACCCGCACAGAGGCAGGAAACGATAACTGCACCGCGGGGGCGCATCCGCACTGCACTGCACCGCGGAGTCTCGTCCGCTGACGGCCATGTCAGTAGTCAGTCCGATGCCGAGTCTGACCCGAGCAAACCCTTCCCCGGATGCTGTTCATTGGTGCTTAATAGCCAGACTGGACTGGACTCGCTCCCTCTATTCAAATGCGCCCATTCAAGCTGCGAACAATGGAATAACAAAAACCCCGCCTGCATATCCAAACTCGATCGTTGGGTCGTTGACTTCGAGTGCTATTTTAGGTCAGCGTAGCCGTGTAATCATCATGAATTGCCCGAGCACGTGACTGTAAATAACTACTTAGTTTTGATGTAAACATGTGAGCATGTCTCATGTCAATCCATGAGATATTAGTTATTACCTGCAAACGGCCTCCCCCGCCCTTTCCAGACCACAGCCTAGTAGGCCACTGCAGGTGCCTGACTGGCGACTAGGAGCTGTACAGGACATGTCAGACGACCCGCGCCACCATTGCCCTGTACCCCTGCACGCCTGTGCGGCTGTGTGAACCCATCAGCCATCTCTGGCTGAACCTAGGCGGGGAGGAGTCGGAGCAGCAACCCCCCCGTAGCCCCCTCCTCCCGCCCCTCCCCCTCCCCGTCCCCGAGCCCTGCTGTGGTGAGGTCCAAGGCGCTAATGGACAGCAGCTCGCAGAACTCCGGTGTCAGCTGAGGGCATCCGTCCACCACCAGAGCTCGTAGACCAGGCCGGGAGAGCTGCCGGCGTTTACACACATACATGCATAAATACATGCATAAATACATACATGCATAAATACATGCATCGGAGGCATGTTTGTTAGAGGGAGGGAGATAGGACGCAGAATGAACGCATGCGTGACCCAGAAGACGGGCTATTGGCCAACGGACCCTTTGCGCAGCGGCTCCATCCACGGGGCGGAGAAGACCCCCCTACGGTGAATCGACCCCAGCCCCGAGACAGACAGATAGACGGACAGACAGGCCGCCCCAGGAACCTACCACTTGCTCTACAGTTCCAGGAGTAAGATTTGGCAGGTTGTGAAGGTAGAGCTCCTGAGGGGGGGCCGAATGGGGGGAGTTTGCCGCAATATCTTTTTTGACGTCATCGCCACCATCATCGTTATCGCCACCATCATCATCATCATCACCATCAAAAACTCCAAAACACAACTCCAAACTCCAAGCCACATACATGTCACCCAAGGTAATATGCCGCATCGCTGTATGGGGTTTTTAATTAGTGGTGGGGACATTTCCACAAAAGAGGTGTGTGTGGGGGGGGAGGTCCGGTCCGTCGTGCACCCGCACTGGCCGCGCAGGGCGGGTCGGCTTCTGGCCGCAACGCCTGCCTTCCCTCTACCTGTGCCCTATCAAGTCACATCGACCTGCCCGCCCCTGCCTTCTGCCTTTCTGACCGCCTGCCTGAATGAATGAAGCCCTTTGCCAGCCAGCCTGGTTTCTACACGAGGGCCGCCATCCTAACAGAGGTCTCTCCACCGTCCCCGCTCATTCATTTGTTCATTTGTGACCCCACCGCTGCCAGCGCCAGCGCTCACCTTAACCTTTGGCAGCAGCTGCAGCAACACCTGGAGACCTGTCGGGGCAGGGAAGGAGCCATATCAGTCAGTGAGGGCCATATTTGTTCAGTGGCCGCCCCGCCCCCCGCGGTGGCCAGCAGCCACTCATGCACCCACCCACTAAGACAGCGGAGAGAAGAGGAGATGGAGAGGAAGCGGTTGGGGTTGCAGTCGGGGTTGCAGTCTGTCTATCTGTCTGTCTATCTGTTTGTCTATCTGTTTGTCTATCTGTCTGTCAGCCAGGGCCAGGAGGGAAGCGGCGGGAGCTGAGGCAGCGGGCCATGTTGCCTCCTCACGCCTCCTCTCCCTTACACGTGCAGACATTTTCCCAGTGCTACATATAATACACATACAGACATATACTCCCATCCACACACACATGAGCATCTACATCTATAACATACGTCTGCAGGCGCACATACAGGCACCGCCGTGTCCCCCCCCCCGCTGGAAACCGCGTCCTCCTGTCCCCTCCGTGTCCCTCCTGGAGATCGCGCCACCTCTGTGAGGTGGCGCTCCGCGGACTTAATGCGCGTCTCCCCGCCTCGGCCTCGGCCCCAACACCCAGGGAAACAGACTTCACGCTTACACCTAAAAACGTATTATCATTGCGAGCTATATCCCACACCACCCCAAGCCCCGGAGCCGCTATAGAGCCCGCTATAGAGTGTGAGTAAGTAGGGTGCTGGTTGGCAGTCAAAGTGGCTGGCAGTCAAGCTTGCTGAGAAGCAGCAAAAAGACAGTCCGAGGGCGCTCGAGGCGTCTGAAGCCCCCGGGGCCCCCCTCCCCTCCCCTGCCACTGATGGCATTTCACACTTCACCGATGGGATGGTTCGCCACTGTCCACACAGACAGACAGACAGACAGACAGACAGACACAACACCCACCCACCGTTATCTGTGAGGCTGCACTCGAATGTGGATGCCGCACCATTCCTGTCGGCGGGCGCGGAGGCGCCGCCGGCGCCATCGCGAACTTCCGCTGTTGTTGCTGCTGCTGTCGCCGTTGCGGCTAACAGCGCCGCCATGCCGTTCCGCGGCCCATGCACTCGCCCATCCCCATTGTCGCCGCCGCCACAGCTGCCGCCGCCACAGCTGCCGCCGCCGCCATCAACAGCACCGTTTTGTACGGCCATGGGCGCCGCCCAGCGTACCGCCGCCCGGCCGCTGACATCCCATCCCTCCCTGGCGGCGGCGGCATCGCTTCTGAATCCTCCGCCAGCGCCACACCCGTACGACGTCGGCCAGGGGCTCTCCTGCCTTGCGCTGCAGCCGTCGGTGCCAACGTCCGTGACGAAGCCATCCAGTCCGCCGCTGACCAAGTCGCCGCCGGCTCCGCCGCCGCTGGTGCCGTACCCATGGTACCGCATGGAATGCACCGAGAAGACGGGCACGAAGTCCTGCTGCTGCTGCTGCTGCTGTTGCTGCTGCTGTTGTTGTTGCTGTTGTTGTTGCTGGTGCTGTTGGTGCTGCTGCTGCTGCTGTGCTCCCCCTTCGTGCAGCTGCTTGACGTGGTGACCAACACCAGATCCATCACCCATTTCGCTGAACGGGCCAGAAGGCCGCCGGGTCGTCGGGCAGTCAGCGGCGGCCCCGGCAGCGGCGGCGGCGGCGGTCGCAACGTAAGGTTCGGCCGTTTGGTTGGCGACAGGGCTGCCACTGCCGCCATCAGCTGAGTCATCCGCCTCATGTCGGCTCCAGGAAGGCGAGAGCAAGAGGGGGTGGCTCCGTACAGCACCCGCCAGCCCCGGACCGCCGCCGCTGCTGCCGCCACCACCGCCGGCGGCGGTGGCGGTGGGGATGTCAAATCCGCCATCACTGCCCATTAAACAAATACTCGTACAAAGCTCATCCTCTTCTTCATCCTCCTCGCCACCACTGACGAAGTCAACGGAGCATATGGCGGCGCCGGTATCGCTGGACCTGAGCAGGCGGTCGCAGTAGCACGGGTGCCGCAGCAGCAGCAGCAGCAGCAGCACGAGTCGAGATCGAGACGAGACTAATCGCGCGGTAGCGATGGTGCCGCAGTTCGAAGGGGTGTGTGTGGAGCGTGTAGGTTCAGGAAACCCGAAAAGGCCTAGATATACCATCAGCCAGGCGAACTCATTTTCATATATCGCCAATAAGGCCCCGCCGCCATCCCCTTCCCTCTCCTACCCCCCTCTCACTCTCACACACACACACGCACACATACACACACATACCCACACACATATTGGATATTGTTGTCCGTCAGATGCGCTGTGCTGTGCACAGCGGACAACAATATCCAATATGAACACTATATGGCATATGTTCTCAGACAGCCGCCCCACGCCACGTCCTATCGTGACCTACCTGCGAGACGACCCACTGCCGTACATAGCCTCCGCGTACGTGCTCCCCCCAGCGTCATCATCGTAGTCGACGTCGCTATTAAAGCCGCCCGCCGCCGCCACCATGGCGACCGTGGCGTCCAGGTCGTCATCGTACGCCTGGTACGACGGCAACTGGTTGCCGCCGCCGCTACCGCCGCTAGCGGCAGCGGCACCTGCGGACTCGCACAGTGCGGCCTGAAGCTCCATTAACTCAGTCGCCGCACCGACGGCGGGTGTTGGCGGCCACTTGCCACAAGTACGGTCAGTCGTACCAGTACCGCCATCGCCGCCGCCGCCGTAGCCGCCGTCATCGCCGACCCCCGGTGGCCCCCCACGTTGACCCGGCTCCACCATATCGCCGCCAACAGTGCCATCATTCCCGCCGTCGCCGTCGCCGTCGCCGTCGCCGCCGCCGCCGCTGCTGCCCTTCCCCCCCTGCTGAAGCCCCACCTCGTCCCCGCAGCCCGTACTAAACCGCCGCAACGTGCCGTCGCCCGTAGGGCCCACATGCACAAGCGGTGGCGGCGGCGGCGCTGACGCTGCTACTGTTACCGTACCGATGGCGGCGGCGGAAGCCGCCATACCTGCATTTACCCCCGCCGCCAGGGCCGCCGCCGCCGCTGCCGGGCTGAGTCCCAGCTCCAGCGCCCGCAGCTCCCTCAGCGTCGTCCAGCCGCCGATGATGACGTCGAAGGTCGTCTTCAGGCCTCTCAGACTGAGGTGCTCTAAGCGCCGGAGCTTGGAAATGGACTGTGGAGGGGCCCCCTCGTAGGAAGGCGGGTTGGGGAAGGAAGGGGGGTGGGGCGGGGGAGGGAGAGAGGTATGTAAAGTCCTAGGACTGGGACACAGCTGCGAGGGGGGGGGAGGGAGGTTTACATTGGGATTGTACACGAGGATTGCGACACATGACATCACATTCGGGAGTCTGGAGCCCACTGTAACAACCACACACACATGACGTCACATGACATCACGGCAATCCACCGCAAGGTGGCACTTCACACGCACATACACGTACTCGAGATATAAGCGGTGGCAGAAACGTCCCATGCTACTGCCGTACCATCATCCTAAGAAACACCTGCCGTACATTCCCTCATTACCTTCATGCCGCCTTCACCCAGGTCCGTACAGTCTGACATGGATAGGCTTAGCAACCCTGCCTGGAGCGATGCGCAGCTTGCTAGCTGTACGACATCAACGTCGCCGATGCGCAGTAGTGACAGGCGTCGTAAGAAGGAAAAAGAGATAACGCCTCCATTAGCTTGCGCATGGAGCTTGTTCAGGACACTGCCGGCCCCGCCGCCCCCGCCGCCGGCGAGGGAAAAACCGCTACCGCCGCTGCCGCGGTTGTCGTACCCGCCGAGATCCGCCGCCGCACTGCCCGCTCTTTTAAGAGAGGTGGCGGCACTGTTTTGGACCGAGCCAGAGGAGGCGAGGGTGACGGCGGCGACAACCGCCACTGCCGCCGTCGCCGTTGCCGTCGCCGCCGCTGGCGGTAGATCCTCGCAAGTAACACCGCCCCCTCCCTGAGACGGTACAGTGGACGCGGAAGAAGGCGCGACGAAAACCGGCGCGAAAATTTTGGGGCTGCTGACGTCGGCGCCGCCACCACCACAAGGTTGTTGCGTCGTGCTCTTCAGCAAGCTTGTGCCGTACAAGTCCGCGACGTCTGCGTCAGGGTCCGCTGGGGCTGCAGCGTCAAGACCGCTGTGTTCCCCGGGCGCGGCGGAGCTTCCGTCGCCGCCGCCGCCGCCGGTTGCGGCTGCAGGGACGAAATGAGCTGTAGTAGCGGCGGTAGCGGCGGTAGTCGCAGTAGCGGCGGCCACGTCCCACGCCGCCGCGACAGCCGCTGCCGTCGACTGCCGCAACATTCCGTCATCTGCGCCACCCATGGGGCTGCCCTGGCGGGCTGCAGCCGCTTCCAACGTCGCCGCACGATACGCCGCCGCCGCCGTCAAAGCCGCCGTCACGATCGCGGCTTCCGCCTGCCCTGCTGACGTACGACTCCATGTACCCACATCCGTAATCGACGCTGCGCCACCGCCATTGTCCACTAGGTCTGTGCCTGTGAGCGGCGGAGCCCTTTGCGGCGGCAGTAGCCGCGGCGGCGGTCCTTCTAGTGCCGCGGTGACGCCGCTGCCGGCTCCAATGGCCGAGGCAGCGCCGGCGGCATCAGCGCCGCCGCCGCCACTGCTGCCTGATCTAACCAACGGCTGTCCAACGGCGCTGCTGTCGCCGCCATCCATGGCATCAGTGACGGCCGGTTCTTGAACGCCGCCGCCGCCGCCGCCGTCAGCAGCGAAATCGATACCAGCAGTTGTACCGAGCAACGGCAGTTGCCGGGTCCTCTCCCCATCGCGGCATCTGGCGGCGGCGGCGGCAGCGGCGGCGGCGGCGCCGGCGGCAGTCACCACTGCATCATCGTTATTAGCGCAGCTACTGCACCAGCTGTAGCCGCCTTCGGATGCAGGTCTCGCGCTAGTGGCGCTGTTCGGGACGCGCCAGCGTGATGCATTTGCGCAGTAGCTGCTACGGCTGCTAGGTGCGCTGCTACTGCCGACGCAGCTGGGCTCCACGCTGACGGCGGCGGCGGTGTGATCAGAGGGGGTTGCTACACCCGTAGCGGCAGCAGTAGTTGCCGGGGTCTGATGAGACCTTGGAATGCCCTCCGTACCTAGCACCACTGCCGGCGGAGAACCCGCGACGGTACGGCTGTACGACATGCTTAGCTCCCGTGGCAGGGACTCCGTCGGTGACGCCGCAGAGCCCGCGACGGCGGTGGACAGTCCCGTCGCTGGGATGCGATCCACTTCGGTTGCTTCCACCGCCGCCACCGCCGACGCCGCCGGCGGCGCCGACGGCAAAGGAGCTTTTCCTCCTGCCCCACAGAACTCCTGCCCGCCGGCCTCACCATCCTGCGACACAGCCCCGGCCGCATTCCAGCACGCCCCAGCGCCGCCAGCCAAGAGTACGGCAGCCTTACGGATCTCCGCATGCGTTACACAATCGCCGTCGGCGCCGCCGCCGTCGCCGCCGCCGCCGGGTTCGGGCCTCGCCAGCGGGTCCCCGCCCTCTCTGCATTCGTACTGCTCGCGAGCAGCGTCACCTACCCCAGGCGTACCCCCAGTACTCCCCCATGCCGAAGCGGGGGACAGCACCGCCGCGCTCCCGCCAAGCGCCCGACTACCCATCTCCCAGCCATCCCCACCCTCACCCCCACCACCCTCCGCACACATCCACAAGGCCCCCGGCTCATGGCCTGCGGTTGCGGCTGTAGCGGGGCTGATCCATCCGGCCGCTGCCGCCGGAGAAGAAGCGACGGCAGCAGCACCACCATCGCCTCCGGGGGCGGCGGCGCCTTCCCCCTTCCAGCCCCACTCGTGGATGGGTTGCAGATCACTGAAGCCGCCCTCCATGCGCCCTCCGTCGTTTGATGCTCCAAACACTCCCACATCCCCACTGCCTCCACCTCCGCCTCCAACATTGCCTTGCCGGCACTCCTGGTGGTGTTGTGCGAGCGACGTCGGTGACCGTCGGTGACGGTGAGACGGCGACGACGACGGCGGTGAGATGACGGTGGTGGCGGCGGCGGCGGCGGCGGTGGCGGCGGCGGCGCAGAGGAGTAACGCCCAAGGCGAAGTAAGTGGTGGAATACTCATATGGATGTGCAACAGACAAACAAGCAAGCAAACATTTCAACACTAACGACGTCCAACCATTCCAAGGGGGCTTATTTCTGGCGCGTATGGCAATACGGAGGCCCTCTTTTCCAGAATGCGCGTGGCCCGACACACTCTGCAACGCCTGTGCGGCCCCCTCCCCCCCCCACCATACACACACTCTTGAAACACGGCGACCTGGGGCCCCCCCACAGAGCTGTGCGGCCCGCCGCACTCACCGAGGCACCAACAGCACCAAAGCGTACGGGACTGTCCTCAGGGGTCGTATGATTGCCGTACTGGTTCCGCCCGTACAGTCCGCTGCCAAGGGCGGCGCAACCCGATCCCCAGCCGCCGTCGCCGCCGCCGCCGCTGCGTCTGCTGCCTAGACCCATAATCCATCCACACCCGCCACCGCCGCTGCTCCGAACTCCCCACGAGGACAAACTGGCTGCGGCGGCTGCCGCCGCCGCCAGTCCCACGCCCGCCGCCGCCGCCGCCGCAGACGGATACGTGTGCCCTGCTCTAGGCCCCGACACCCAAGGCGGCGTAGAAGAAGAAAACGACGAGGACGACGTCACCGCCCCGCCCACAGCCGCATTGCAATATCCCAACAGCAGCTGCTCCAGGGAAGGCATCGCCGCCAGGACGCGCCATGCCCCCTCGTGTAGCCGCAGCGGCGCCGCCGCGCAATCGCCGCCGCCGCCGCCGCCGCATCCACCGAGCTCCAGACGCGCCAGGGAGGGCACGGCTGCGAGGGGCGCCAGCGCGGCTGCGGCGTCGTTCAGCGAAGGCGGGTGGAAGGCCAGGCGCGTGAGGCCAGTGAGGGAGGGCAGGAAGGCGGGCAGCAGGCCGTCCCATGGGTCACCTGGGTCAGCTCCCGCCTGGCCCACGAGCTCCACCTCCTGTGGGATCGAACAGCCCCCACGTCATCACACCACATCACACCACACCACACCACAGACCACGGTCCGGCGTTAACACGTGAGTCGCAGTAAAAGTAAGAAGGACTGGAAGCTGGAAGGATTCCAGCCACAGTAGTACTGTGCTTTCTTCTCTTTCTCAATCTCTCTCCCTCTCCTCTCTTTTCTCAAACTCATTCACGACTGCAACCCGAACCACCACACAGAGAGAACCTCCTCCCCGCTCTCCCTGTTCCAGCCAGTCCCCCCTCCGCCCCCCGCACCCACCGGCCCCCACCCCCCCCTCACACACACCCGCAGCCTCGTCAATCGGACCCAGTGCTGCAGCGACGCAACGACGGGACAGCAAGCCACCTCCGCAGCCCTCCCCTTCCCCGACGCCGACGCTGCGCCGTCGCCAGCCGCACCGACGCACCAACCCGCACCCGCCTCCTCCCCCAGAGCACTGCCGTGGCTGTAGCCGGCTGCCGGAGCTGATGGCAGGGACGCCGCCACCAACCCCAGCCGCGGCGGCGGCGGCGGCGGCAACGGCGGCGGTCCTGCGGCGGCTGCTCCGTCGGCATCGGGGACGCCGGCCGGCAAGGGTGCTGACGGTGACAGTGACAGTGACGGTGACTCTGACGGCTCCGGCTGCAGCTGTGGCTGCTGCTGCTGCTGCTGCTGCGGTACTCTCAGGCCCCGGATGCTTAGCTTCGTGAGTGCTGTGAGTGGCCCCAGGTGCATGAGGGATGTTGGCTGCAGCGACCTGTAGGGAGTGGGGGGAGGGGGAAAGGGGGGAAGACGAACCACGTGAACGAGTGAAGTTGCTGCAAAGGAAAGAGTGTACCAGAAGCAGAACTGACCAGTAGACGAGGGAGGGGAGTGGAGGGGAGTGGAGGGGAGCGGAAGGGAGGACGCGGCTGCACACAGTGGATGCCTGTCCGGGCGGCACCTCCGTGTGGGGGCCAGCATGGGCCCTCCACTCACAAGGGCCGTCCTCTATATGCCAGGAGGGCAAAGGAGTAACAGTATTTTTTTTTAATTTTTGTTTGCACGATCTTGTGGAGAGTGAACACCTCACACCGCGCACACTCACCCGCACTCCGTCAGGCTCAGATGCGTGAGCGACACCGGCAGCTGCTGTAGCACCCAGGCCCCCGCCGGTCGGCTGAGCCCCTGCTCCGCGGCGCTCAGCAGCGGCTCCGGGGCGCTGCTCTGCTCGGCGGCCGGCATCTCCAGCGCCTCCAGACGGGTACAGCGCTCAAGGAGCTGCTGGAGGGCGGCCTGGACGCGACGTGGCGCATTTCAGAGGAAGGGGGGGAACATACGATGCTGCTGCTGATGATGATAATGATGATAACAATGGGAAGAGGGAAGAGGATGAGGATGCAAAAAAAGATCAACAACAAGTCAACCGCCGACTGACGTCCAAGATGACGGTCTGATTTCGAGGGTTAGGGAATTCGGGGGTGGTGGTGTAAAAGGAGCCATTGATGAATGAAGCAGATGCAAGAGATAGACGGATTCGGGGTGGGGGTGTCGTATCCCGGGGCCAGCGGGAGGGTCAAAAGGGGAAATGGAGAGGCCGAGAATCGGAATGAGGGGAGGGGGAGAATCCATGGCGCGGGGTGTGTTGGGGTAAGGCAATGAGGATATGAGGTGATGGGTTGGATGCATGGATGCACACGGAGGGGCACGGAGGCCACACAATGTCGCCGGCGGGTGAAGGGGATCGGACAATGATGTAGTTCTTAGGATTGAAGGTGGCGAGGAGGGAGGTGATGAGGAAAAGGTTCGCGAGGGTGAGGGGAATTAGTGCGCACATTGTGTTGGTGCGCACATTGAAACCACGTACGTTGGCAGCAGCGTTAGGATGCGTCCTATCATTAAGCACACCTGTTGCATGCATGGCACTCCGAAGATATGAATGCGAGTTGCCGTCGATGGGACAGCTTTTGCCAGCTCCGTCAACGCATCGCAGGCGGTTTCTCGTGACATATACGGGGAACCGACGTACTCAATAATGGTGTTATTTGCCTGCATGATGGTATACTGTATTGTGACATGTGAAACTGTTATCCTTGCACGTCAACCATCTCCCGCGTACGTGCGAGGAGGGGAACCGTCAGTCCACGGCACAATGATTTATATTGACGTGGTCCGCTGCGATGCCCAAACATAGGAATCTTGTTGATGCATTTTCTATGGAACCAGGCGTGCTCCTAGGCAGATACAAACACCAAAGCCCTCAACGATCCTACGAGGTCGCTACTCAACGCATCAACACCCGCCTCGACGTACACAAAATTCACAGCGTGCTCACATGGAATGACAAAGTTGCTTTGTGGTCGCCATAAGTGACCACTTGTACATCGGTGTGAGATGGTGTCCCCCGAGAAGGCCATAGATGGTTACCGGGAGCCATCCCTAAGACCTTAACACGCTCTTATAGCAGCTTTGCATGGTAACGCGTATATAGGTTGCGTCGACGTCTATATGCTCGCAAGATAGCTGCGCGCGCCTTTGCAGTTACCCTTAACTCCTTGACATATTACTAGCGGGCACCAATGCCAGGTTTCGTAAACAGACGTGGGTGGTGAGTTACCGAACAAAACATTTGCATAATGTTATTGCGTCTGCTGCGTACGGTTATAGTACGGCGAACAGCCCAGGTCCTAACAAAAATTGCCAACATCGACTCGGTACAACTTACTGGGACGGACAGGTCTCAGCAAACTATGTTAAAGGTGATGAAATCCTATCTATCTAAATCCGATACCTGGGGGAAATGATGTCGACGCGTTGCCTCCTCTTTGCTTCTTGCATCTGTCCGCCTGAAGTTGCCGGCATGGGCTTTAGGGGGCACAGAGTCATTAATTGATCATTTTGTTTTCAACGGCATCAGTGTGGCCGTGCTGTTGTTACAGCTTTTCCGCGTTCCCCGAGGTTCACACCGTATAGTGACCTATCCCTTTCAAAAAATATCACCCTCGCTGACTGGCAAAATCACTCGCATAGCATCTTTCCGAAGCAGATAAATGGAACCAGAGTAACACCATACATTTCCCAAGATGCAAAGATGACAACACCGCTGCCAACACGTCCCGCCATTATCGCGACATCCGAGGGCACCACGAGGCCGTAACGGGAAACACAGCAATGGCCATCCGCCATTTTCCCATCGCAAGACCCTTTCCTTCGGCCTAATGCCCCCTTCTGGACATTTAAGCCCAGCTAACGAGCTGCCAGGCCCAGATCCTAAGGACCATTCAGAGCCAAACAACCCCCCAAAGCCACGCCCCATACACGATACCCTCCTCCCCGCCGTGTAAAAGGCTCTCCTCGAATCCGCCTCCCTTCAACCATCTGCATCGATTGCGTACCTTCGCTTACCTCGGTTACGTACCTTATCTACATACATACATACAGGCAGGCGGCTGGCAGAGGTTAAGGCCTGACTTCTGCTCCCAGTCGACCCAGTCGACCCGGGTTCAAATCCGCCTGCCGGCTCCTCGGGTGTTTGAGGAGTGATGAAATGGGAGGTGGCCCCCCATCTTATGGACGGTGTAGGACGTGATAATATCAACTTGCGAGCTGACCAGGAACTAAGTTGATGCGCCGTTGATCCGCTAGATTTGGTTGGATGCTGGTGGTGAGTTGCCGAACCCAACGAATACATTCTGAAGTCGGATGGGGTGACGGATTAGGGTGCCCCTCTAGCAGGGGAGAGCAGGGACTGCCCCGGGAAAGGGGGCCGCTGGCGAAGTTAACCACCCTGTAACAACATACATACATACACACATACATATATACATATACACGTCGACTGACAGACAGAGAGACAGCTCACTCCCCTTTCCTTCTACCCAGAGTGGGCACGGACATGACCAAGGACGCGATGTGGGGTCCTTGTGCTGGTGCCATGCAAAGAGGACAGGGGGCAGTAGCAGCAGTAGTAGTAGCAGCAGCAGCAGCAGGGCCACGGCCCTGTCATGTCCCTAAACAGCTCCGACTCGAAAGTAGAAAAATTCGTCTTCTTCTCCCCTTCTCTATTGTTGAAAGAACCACACCATCAGAAAGCCGCGCTCTAACCCCAGTTCGACCCCAGCTTTCCCCTTTCCGAAGGCCCCCCACCCCCACCCCCACACCACTCTGAGCGTCCCATCTCAACTCGTGTGCATGCAAGGCCACGCACAGGATTTATGTCGTCAGCAAAAAATTCGGTGGCCCTGAAGAAAAAGAAGTGGAAGAAGAAGAATGCAGGCGGTGTCGGCTCTCTCTTTCCATCCGTTTTTAATTTCCCAAACTTACTTCCCTCCTGACACTATGCTAAGATGCCGACATATAAACATAATACCCACGAACAAAAGCCGCCAAGCAAGGGCACACAGAGAGAGACTGATGAGAAAGTGATGCGAAACATGACAGTCGCTTGTCATCCTTTTTAGGGCCTCTCGTACTTGGTGTTGTACGACACGCTTACGCTGCAAGTGGGGTTCCGGCGCCGAAGCCTGCGTGTGCGCCGCTTTCTAGCCGCCACCACCATAACCACCATAACTACCATAACCACCATAACCACCATAACCGAGTCCCTCGGTGTCCAAGCGCCACGCGGCGCAGGTCAGGCTTCGTTATGACGACGGTGACGGTGTCAGAGCAGGACACGAGAGATCGTACAGCATCGTACAGAGCAGAACAGAATGAAGTACATACATACATACATGCATACATATATACATACTTAAAGGCGCGCTGACCGACTGGCCGACAGCGAGCAAACTGCGCCACTGATTCACTTCACCGCTCACTCCCACACGTACTGCACAAGCCGCTTGGAAGCCGCCTCCGCCTCCGCCTCCACCTCCGCCAAGCTCGCAACGCTGGCCGGCTGCGGTTGCTCCAGGGGCACGTGCACCAGTGCCCTCAGCGCCGCAGTTCCCCCCGCAATCTCCAGCTCCTCCAACTTCCGATACTCCAAGAAGGCGTTGGAGTACCGTTCCGCCAGTGCCACACACATGCCGATGGCTTTAATGGAGCCTGCAAGGACGATTTTACGGTCTTAGCGATGGCGACCAGTGGCGGCATTGGCATTGACCAATGCCATGGTAAAACCAATGATGAAGGTAAAACGTAGGGTGCTCTCTACAGAGCTACCTTTTACCCCCCCTCCCCCGTTGGCATTTCCTCTCCCCCATTTTCCCTTGTATCCTTGCAGCAGACGGAACCCAACTAAGGGTATGTTGCACTACTGGGCCTCTACACCGCCGCGTACACATGCCACCGGCACAAGCCTAAGCTTTAGCTTAGTATGCTCAGACAACCCGCGCCCGCCCCCCCGTCCGTCCCATTGCCTACTGCGCCGGCCCACCCCCCAACTCACCCCCACAACCTGCCACCCCCCACCTGACACCTCCCA